GTTTTTTAAAAAAATAAGTGTTGTATGCTTTGCAGTCACTTTCATCTGAGATGGAAGGCTATTCAAATATGTTAAATAAATAAATAATGATTTCGAGTCTAGAAATAAAAGTTAAGAAGCATAGTGAAAAACATGGGACTACAATTAAATATAAACAAAACCAGACAAATGATAACATGTAGAAACCACTAGTTTTAGAGCTGACATTGAAGAGGTGGATAACGTCTGCCTTTTAGGATCAATTTTTGACAATAAAGAAACAAGTAATAAAGTAGGGGTTGGTACAGAAATCATGAAGGCCTTGGAAAAGATATTCAGATGCTGTGATATTTCTCTATCTACAAAAAAAAATCAGAATTATGGAAGCAATGGTATTTCCTGTGACACTCCATGGAAGCAAAGTTGGACTTTGAAAAAACAGGCAGAAGCAGTATTGGTGTTGTTGAACTTGGGCATTGGAGAAGACAAATAGGTCATAGAGCAAATCTACCCAGGGTTCATTCAAGGTGCAAATGACCAGGCTCAAATTATCCTATTTTGGACATATTATGTGAAAACCTAGCTCTCTGGAGAAGGCTGTAATCCTGGGAAATGTGGAAGGAAAGAGAAGAGACCAACCAGCAGCAAGGTGGATTGGTTGTGATCACAGTTGTGATATGAGCACCACAGGAATATCTGAAAGATCAGATTATGGACAGATCATCACAAAGAAAATCTACATGGCCACTAACAGGAAACATTGACTTAATGCCACATAATCATAGGATTTGTGAAATCTACAGTGATGATGTAAATAGTACAAATACAATCTAGTCTATTTTTACAAGAACTCATTCTATATTATAAACTTCAACTACTCTTAATAGACAAAGGCCACATACTAAACCAATGATTTGCAAATACAAAAATCATCCTATTTAACTATACTCAATAACTACGTTATGAATAACATAAAAGCAATTTTAAGGAAACTGAAAATCATTAAACCTCCTTGCAGAATTTCTATGTCAGTGACTGTGTTCATACAAAATTCAGAGCTTGCTTAATCATTGTTCAGTCAGGACAATCAGTCACAATTGGCCAGTTTCACATCTGACCAAGCCATGAACTACAGTCTGAAAATAAAAGTGAATGAGTTCACATCACAATAAACCAAAATCAAAACAAATCACATTGGGGCTGGAGTCCCAGTGGTGGAATTATTATTTTTTTTATTACTGGTTCTGTGAGCATGGCTTGGTGGGCGTGGTGTGGTGTGGCTTGGTGGGCGTGGTTTGGTAGACGTGGCAGGGAAAGAATACTGCAAAATCTCTATTCCCACCCCACTCCAGGGGAAGGATACTGCAAAATCCCCATTCCCACCCCATTCTGGGGCCAGCCAGAGGTGGTATTTGCCAGTTCTCCGAACTACTCAAAATTTCTGCTACCAGTTCTCTAGAACCTGTCATAACCTGCTGAATTTCACTCCTCGGCTGGACAGGCAGCCATCTGCTCCCTCCTTTCTTTTCTATTACAGGATCAATCAAATTAATCACATAATCCTAATCAAATTAATCACATAAGACAGGAACAGGCATAAATTCTCACTTTTGATAGCAATAAACCAGGAATCTGGATTTGACCATCATACAAATCTTTACAGTTCTAGCTGGATGTTTGAGTGAAGGGATTAAGAAAGAAGCTGTGTACATCAGCATATGGCCTGCTTATCCTCTATCTAGGGGCTATGGTGTCAGCTCCCAAATACTTTTCTGACAACATTTCAATATGATTTCAACATATTTAAGAACATATTTATTTCCATCAAAGAGGTTTATACCATGGCTATAAAATGCTATCCTTAACTAATACTTTATTGCATATGGATTCTTTATATCATTGCATTCTACATGAAATATGGATTTCTTGTTTAATTGAACTGGTTGTACTTTATTAGGTTGTAATGTTTTTAGAATTTAGTTGTGTAAAAAATCATATTATCTAATTGCTTTGGTTATTTTGAATTGATTACTCGTTACAGATTTGTGAAAGCAATTAAATCATCATATATCGCTTTGCACTAAGGAATAATTTTATTGTCAATTGTTCAATCTCGTTTTCCAAATATTTGTCTTCCAGGTATCTCCTTTGAAGATCTAAAAATTACCTAGATTGTCTCTTGACTGTTTTGGAAAATAGATTTGACAACACCATTGAGTGAGAAACTGCTGTTTGTATACATCATCGTATTCAGCAATTTTGCCCTCCCTTTCTCATCTTTATTTAAATCCATATCAGTCTAGACTCTAGACCAGGGGTGTCAAACTGAAGGCCTGAGGGCCAGAGCTGGCCCGCGGGTTGCTTAGATCTGGCCTGCCGCCCTGGAAACAGTGAAGGACTGGCCCACAGGGCCTCTACTAGTGAAAACGGAGCTTGGGAAGGCTGTGTGCGGCCCTCCTGAGCTCCATTTTCACTGGCAGAGGGTTGCATGAAGCCATCGCAGCCGAAACGGAGCTCAGTAGCCCATTTTCACTGGCAGAGCGCTTGGGCCGCCACAGTCACCTCCGACACGAGTGACATCGAGCTGGTCACACCCACCCTGGCCATGCACACCCCGGCCCCCAAGGTCAAACACAACCCTGATGTGGCCCTCAATGAAATTGAGTTTGACACCCTTGCTCTAGACATACTACATGCCTGATGATGTGAGCTGCAGGCCACAAAAGCTTGTCCCTATTAATAAAAGATTGTTAGTTGAAAAAGGCACACCAGACTGCTTCTGATTTTTGCAACAAAGACTAACTCAGTTCTCCTCCTACAATGTCTAACTAATTTTTAGTTTTATCTAACTGCTCTCAGAATCAAACTTACATTCATTATAACCAGGCTCAATATGTCAGTTTTCCTCTCTGCTTTACATGCTTTACAGCATGAGAGCACATAATCACATAGCAGGTGCAAAGGGCAACTAAGCAATCCTAGGAAAGAACCTGCACCTGTCTTCAAAAATTTCAGGCAAATGTTATGCTCATTTTCACACAAGTTCCAAAACATCTTTTCCAAACTATTTCTGAAGCACTGCACAGCCTTAATGTGCATATCGTTGCAGTGGCCTTTCCCAATTTGATATCATTCAGATATATTGGATCTTAATTCCCCACCCCCACCTGAGACCGGAAACGTCCCATTTGCCAACTTCCTGTGGGACCAGAAGTTGGCAAACGGGCTGTTTCCAGGCTCCGGAGGGCCTCCAGGGGGGTTAGGGTTAGCCCTGCTTTTGGCACGCAATGGCAAAAAGGTTAGCCATCATTGCTCTATAAAGTATAAAGTACATATAAGTGCTTTCCTGTAACTTAAATCCATCATTTCATAACCTACAGAGAGGAGATCCTGATTTTCTTCAACGAGACTTCATTGCAGGATTTGTACCATCATATTCTCCTATCAATCTATTGAAGGCTAAATATGCACAGCTGCTTCCCTCTCTCACATAAGACTTGGTTCCTTACCCTTAATCTTCCTTTTCTAACCCTGTTCCAAAGCATGGAATCCAGAACTGGGTAAATCACTAATACTTCCTTAATGTTAATTTTATTAGTGATATAAATGTATTATTTTAGCTACAGTAATTAGGCACATGTATTGGCCTGGTATTGCATACAGAAAATTCTTCCTGAATGCAAGGTGATCAAACCGGTCAGTCCTAGAGGAGATCAACCCTGATTGCTCTTTAGAAGGCCAGATCCTGAAGATGAAACTCAAATACTTTGGCCACCTAATGAGAATGAAGGACTCACTGGAGAAGAGCCTAATACTGGGAAAGATTGAGGGGAAAAGAAGAACGGGACGACAGAGAATGAGGTGGCTGGATGGAGTCACTGAAGCAGTAGGTGTGAGCTTAAATGGACTCCAGAGGATGGTAGAGGACAGGAAGGCCTGGAGGAACATTGTCCATGGGGTCGCGATGGGTCGGATACAACTTCGCAACTAACAACAAAAACCCCTTATGCAGACAGACAATGGGTGAGCATCAAGGCAATCAGAATGTTGCAAAAATTGAGGCAACTGCTAGATGAAGCAAAGAGATATAGAAAATCTTCAACTTTTTACTGCCCTCTAGCATTTTTACAATCCAGATTTCACACCTTTGTCAGCAGCCTCGATAGGATTACACCCTGGGTAACTTCCTTAAATGATTCTTTCTGTGGACAAAACATCATCAGAAGAACCCAACAACCTTAACTTGCCCTGCAAGGTAATTACCAGTGTATGTTAGAAGAACACTTCAAGGACTACGTGAGAAGAGGGCAAGTTCATGCAGCAACATGCTGACCTGGTATGAGGAACCGTAAGTGCTACATATACATACCACACCAAGCTATTTAAAAACAAAACGAAAAACCAACACCTTTGAAAGTGAAGATCTGATTTACAGACTATACTAAGATGATGGCTTATCCCAAGTAATTGGTAACCATGGCTAATAACTTAGCTTGCTGTACAACCTGGTACAGACACCCGTGAATTAAGTTATTTTCTAGGCACAACATAGAAGGGAAGAGAAGGAAAGCCGAAAGCCCTACTAAGCAGGTATATACAAAAGTATGAAGGCTATTGCTTAACGCATTGTAAGCCGCCCTGAGTCTCCGGAGAAGGGCGGCATATAAATCGAACCAACCAACCAACCAATCAATCAATCAAGGGACAAGTGTTTCTTCAGCCTGCTGCTATTCTAGCAACCAACCTCTTAGACTAGAGCCAGGCTCCCAGAAATGAAGCAAACTTAATATCTTGCATTGTAAAAATAAAAATAAAAAAAAAAGCAAGAACGTTGCCAAAATCCTACAGCCATGCTAAAATTAAATCCGGGAAACGGTCAGTCACATCCTTTACAATCACAGGAAGCGCGCAAGTCCTGCGTTGAGTTTCCGAAACCAAGTGCTGGAGAGCAAAAGCCAAAGCAATTCCAAATCGGTGATGTGGGGGGAGAGAGGGAATAGTGTGGAAAGCATTCACATTACCATCCGGAGGGAAAATATTCCCAAGCAGGCATTCAAGGCTCGCCAGCCTCGCTTTCTAAAGGGAAAGGCTCTACTCTCCTTTTCTCTTGCTCCACCGGGGCGAAGACAGGCAGATGGAAAGTTCTCTGAAAAAAGTGAACTCTAGTTCGGAGCGCGCCGTTGCGCGCGCGGGCCGAGGCTGGTTCCTACCTGGCTGCGGTCCGACCGAGAGAGGGAGCGGGGGGCCCCCCCGGCCAGGCCCCGCGCGCACGTGGACTGTTCCCCCACCCTCCTGCCTTTTCGCCCGCTTCGGTGCTTTCTGAGAAAGGAAGCGGGAAGGAAGACTTGCGGCTGCAAGTGAAGCTTTCGTGACGCGGGCGAAGGAGGAGGCGCGGCGGTAGATCCTCCACACCAAAAAAGGGAGGAGCGCAACTGCAGCGGCACATTTTCCGATTCCGTCCCGGGCCGAACCCAGCAGCAGCCTGAGAGAGGGGCGCGCGGGTTTTGTCCGCCAGCTGCGGGATCTGGTCTGCCTCTCCTCTGGTTTTGTTTCGGAGGCAGAGAGAAAGTTCATCTCCTGAGGCCAGCGGTCCTCTATTCGGACCTTCCTGATCCGATTCGTTTCTTCGGCGAGAGCCGAGCCTCCGCCCCGCGTTCATCCCGCAGTACCACTGGCATACACAGCCTCGCAGCCTCGGTGCCAAAGCGCCCTCCGCTAAAACGCCCCACCCGCGATCGAATTGACCCTAAATATACGGTATCCGTGTCCTGGACAGCGAGCGAGCTGGTTCTCGGGCTTGTCCCCAAAACGCCTTTTTCCCACAAACAAATTAGGGAAAGCCTGCTGAACCTGATTTTTGGGATACTTTCAGCCTCTTAAAAAAATAAGAGCCGGTCAATCTGACCTGGAAGGAAGTGGAAGGGGGCTTCAGAATGAAGAGATTAGCCCAGTGGTGAAATCCATTTTTTTTTTACTACCGGTTCTGTGGGCGTGGCTTGGTGGGCGTGGTATTGCTCGGTGGGCATGGCAGGGGAAGCATGCTGCAAAATCTCCATCCCCACCCCACTCCAGGGGAAAGATACTGCAAAATCTCCATTTCCACCCCACTCTGGGGCCAGCCAGAGGTGGTATTTGCCTGTTCTCTGAACTGTTCAAAATTTCCGTTACCAGTTCTCCAGAACCTGTCAGAACCTGCTGGATTTCACCCCTGGATTAGCCACTTTCTGAGCAGCTGCCCAGTTGCCCCTTTCACAAGGATTCATTAATGGATTTCTCTCGATTTTCATTTCTGCAGGACCCAGCCTAGATCCAGTCCATTTTTAAACTTTATCTTTCTTTTATCAGTTTTTCCTCTCTGGTATAATTTGGTTCAGATTTGGGGGAATCCCAGTTTCTTCACAGAATCTCTTTCCAATATTACATTTACAATAGAAAGAATAAAAATGAAATGCAAAATTTCAGTTTTGTAACAGTTCTCACATTTCAAAATTCCTTTGGGACTTGGAGAATTACCAAGATCCAGAGAGACTGCCCTCCTATATTGTATTCAACTACTTGAGAGTAACTCCTTGGAGGTCAATGGATGTCACATCCAACATCAAAATACTTTGCATAGTTCTAAGATATTCTGGGAAGAGAACAGAAGGTTTACTTTGAGTAGCAGAGAAACTGGGCTTCTTTTCTGCTCAAGCTATGAAATTGTACACCGTTAGGTGCCAAAATTTAGGACATCTATTAATTGCCACTCCTTTTTATCTGGAGAGGCTAGAGCAGGGGTGTCAAACTCAAGGCCTGGGGGCTGGATCCGGCCCGCAGAGTGCTTAGATCTGGTCCATGGGATTGCCCTGGAAACAGTAAAGGACCGACGAGTGGCCCTCCTGAGCTCTGTTTTTTCTGGCAGTGGGTTGCAGGAGGCCGTTGCAGCCAAAAATGGAGCTTGAGAGCCTGTTTTCGCTGGCAGAGCGCTCGGGCTACCACAGGCGCCCCCAACACGAGTGATGTCAAGCTGGCCACGCCCACCCTGGCCCACCAAAGTCAAACACAACCCTGATGTGGCCCTCAATGAAATCAGGTTTGACACCCCTGGCCTAGAGAAAGGAATATAGAAAAGATAGAACTGTTTGGAATTGCAGTCTTCTGGAAACATACAGGAATGAACAAGGAGGTAAATTCTATGATCATTTCCAAGTATGTTGTAAGTTTGGGTTCCTGCCCAAGGAGGATTTCAACCACACCTGCAATGAGTGCAAATTCATTGCATTGCAGCAGGGCGTGAAAATATGTTCAGCAATATTGAGACTCATCAAGGAACATGATGAGCTTCTGGACTGATAGCAGAGAACGTAAACCAGGGGTGTCAAACTCGATTTCATTGAGGGCTGCATCAGGACTGTGTTTGATTTCGGGGGGCTGGGGAGTAGGTGTGGCCAGGGGACGTGGCTGGGGTGGGATGCTTGACATCATTCATTGAGGCTCTATTTTTGGCCATGATGGCCTCCTGCAGCCCTCTACCAGCAAAATGGAGCCCATGGAGGCCATGCGTAGCCCTCCTGGGCTCTGTTTTCGGCCACGACAGGTTCCTGCAGCCCTCTTCCAGCAAAAATAAAGCTCGGGGAGGCTGCATGCAGTCCCCCTGGCTCCACTGCCAGAGGCACCATGGGCTGGTCCTTCGTTGTTTCCAGGATGCCCCTACGGGCCAGATCTAAGCATCCCATGGGCTGGATCTGGCTCACGGCTCATGAGTTTGACAACTCTGACCTAAACAATCAAAGGACAGTTTGTCCCAGTCTTTCTAAGGAAGCACAATCAGTTTCAGGACCTTCCAGTTCACAATCAGTTTCAGGGTAACTCACTGCTGAGAGGCAGTATATTGTTGCCCAGGGACAAATATCTGTGATGTGATAGAGAGCTGACTTGACTAAACAGATCTAATGACCATTATCCTTTTCTTATTTCATGTTGGAACAAAGATTACTTCCAAAAAGAACCTGAAAAGCATATTGAAGGACTACAAAGAAAAGCCAGAAGGCAAAAAGGTTTGGCCTACAGATGATGCTTTTGTCCATGCTTCCAACTAAAAGCCATGGCCCAAGAAAGGTGCAGAAGATTTTGAATTTGAATTGCTGGCTCAAGAAATAGTGTTACTCCGAAGATGTTGAATTCCTGGACCATGGTTTGCACAGCATCTACAGAAAAGCTTTTGGTAAAAGATGGGCTACACCTCACACAAGATATGTAAGCCTGCGTTTGGAAATGCAGAATCACCTGTATTGCGTTTAACACTTACCAATAGGAAGAAATGGTTGGGGAAATGGAAGTTGTAGGAAGTTTGGAAAATAGTGATCATGTGATTCTAGAATTCACCATATTGCAGGAAGGAAAACTGAAAGTAGTCAGGTTAGTATTCTAGATTTCTAGAAAGATTTCAGTAAGCTAAGGGGAACAGTAGGAAGAATTCCAAAAAGTTCAGGAAGGTTGAGAAATTCTGAAAAATAAGCTAAATTAAATGCAAACAATGCTAAATAGAAAAGAAAAAAGTTGAGACAAACAGCATGACCAGTGTGGATGCATAAGGACTTTTCTGATGATCTTACAAACAAAAAGGATAAATTTCAAAATATAGAAAGAGGGCCTATGACAAAAGCCCAATTTCAGGAAATGGCCCAAATCTGCAAGGATGGAGTCAGGAATGAGCTGAGTGTTGCAGTGAACATACAAATAACAAAAGGAAAAGGCTTGTGGAATTTGGATACGTGCAGAATAAAAAGTCAGTCTACTGGTTGGGAAACATCGCAAGGAGTGATAGCTCACAGGGAGAAGGTTGAACTGTTTAATTTCTAGCTTCATTTTTCTTTTCATGAAAAGCAAAAGTGGTCCAACCTGTCAGAAGATGTACACGTTGCTATTTTTAATGAATTCAAGTCATTGGAACCTGATGGGAACTCAGAGTACAGGGAAGTTATCAGAATTTGGAGAAAAGTTAACATTGTTCCAATCTTACAAAGGGGAAGGGAGGTAGCGTCAGAACAATATATACCAGACAGCTTGCTTGACATCGGTGCCTGGGAAAATCCTAGGGCATATCAAGCTGTGGGCTTGCCAGTGTTTAGAAAGGAAAAAGTGATTACTAGAATTAAATATCTTCTCCCACTTTTGACTATAACCATGTTCCTTGTATCTTTATGATTTATATAGTTTTATTTGTTTCCTAGTATGATTTGATTGATTATTAGTAACCTTTGACTATCACTAAGTGTTGTATTTTATGATTCTTGATGAATGTATTTTTTTCTTTTATGTACACAGAGAGCATATCCACCAAAGACAAATTCCTTGTGTGTCCAATCACACTTGCCAGTAAAGAATTCTATTCTATTCAATTCTATTCTATTCTATTCTATTCTATTCTATTCTATTCTATTCTACTCTACTCTACTCTACTCTACTCTACTCTACTCTACTCTACTCTATAAGCAAGCATGGAATTGTTAAAAATGGGTTGTGCCAGACTAAACTTACTTTTTTTTGGCGGAGACTAAATTGGTTGAGCAAGGGAATGCTTTGGAAGCAGTGTACCTGGAGTTCATTTGATTAAGTTTACAATAACTGTCTTCTTGATAAAATGGGACATTGTGAGATAGACTGTCTCCTATCACATTAAGTATGAGCCACCAAACTTAACATGTATCCTTAATATATTAATGGAAAATCATATGTAGTGGAAAAACATCTAGCTTCTGTCTTTGATCTAGTGTTTGTGAGGTAATCCAAACAGGAAACAGACCCAGATAACTAATTCTACTTTACAGTAAGGTTATATTAACAGAATCTTGCAAATCTAAAAGTATATTTCTTCCATTGCTTTTATAAGCTTGAGAAACTAGGGAGAGTCGTCCTTGAAATGTCAGACATGCTCACATTCCTGCTGCAGGCTAAGATGCCTCTTCCAACCACTCCCCTGGCTCTCCCTTTTCTTGATGTCTCCTAAGGTCACTCCCAGATATTATAGTGCTCTTCAACATTTTTTATAAATGACATAGGCAAGAGAAAGGATGGTCAGCAAGTTTACAGACAACCCGAAACAGGGATTTTTAACAGTTTGGGAGAAAGGCTCAAGTTAAAAAGGATCTTGATAGACTTGAACCCTGGACCGTCCCCAACAAAATGCAGTTCAATGGTGAGAAATATGGATTCTGTATTGAAGTAGGAAAAAAATCAGATGTACAAGATACATATTTAGGTGGCTTAGTAGTAGTACTTGTGAGAAGGATGATCCCCAAGGTGCTGCAGCTGCCAAAAGAGCTAATGTAATCTTAAATTGCATCAACAGAAGCATAATGTTGAGAGCATGTAAAATGATATTTCTGCTCTAAACTTCACTGCAACTAGTATATTGGTCACAACAATACAAGAAGAATACAGAGGAACTAAAGAGAAAAGCACCAAAAATGGTGAGGTGTTCAGAGGCTAAATCTTACCAAGAACAGTTAAAAGAACTGGATATGTTTAACTGAAAGAAGATAAGACTGAGGGGAGACATGATAGGAGTCTTCCAATGTTTAAAGGGCTCTCACAAGGAAAGGGGTGTGGATTTATTCTCTGTAATGCCCAACTGAAAGCAATGAATGGAAGCTTTACGGACAGAGCTCCAAACTCAAAATAAGGAGTAATTTCATAATTATGAGAGCTATTAAAAAGCAGAGCACCCTATTCCTGGAGTTAATCCATCATGGAGATTTTCAAGAAAAGATTGAACAGCCATTTATCTAGGATGGTTTCAGGATTCCTGTCCAGGCAATGAGTTGAACCAAAAGATTTTGAAGATCCCTTTCAAATCTATGATTCTATGACTTCTAACTAAATTACAACAGGAAAGTGTGTGTTACGTTGGGTGAATGAGGACGCAGCAAGCCAGGCAGTGATTGACAACAGCTCTTTATTGTATGGTGAGAACCCAGTGACCGACCTAGGGAAACAGCTCCCTTTATATACCTTGCAGCTGTGGTGGTCAGCCAATCAGCTGATGGTCAGTTAGTTCAAACTTCCCGCCAAGAAAACCTATTTACATAACAGTGTGGAACTTTTAATAAAGGTATCAGGCATTGTTAGCAATGGGAGGTGCTTTTAAAGAAGTTCAATGAAGGGTTTGTAATCTCTTTCACACAAACTTTAACTTATCCCCTGGGAAACTCCTATTTGTATTTAGTCAGCATGGTTGTTTACAATTCCATCAGGTGTTCACTGAAAAATTTCCAGCTTTGTCAAAACACATTTTGCAAAGCTGAAGTTTCTGTTTATCTGTAATAAAAGACAAGTCTGCCAGTAAGATGTGAGAAATTGTGAAAAGGGGAATTTGTGACATTTTCTTCCGTGTTGCAATCATGAAGAAGTTCTGTGTTATTGTTATGTGACTCCAATCTATAAATAGTATATGTGCTGTTCACAGATTTAAGTTCTTATTTTTGCTAAATTTACAACTTTTAAAAAGAAAGAAAATAATGCCGGTCTTAGGCAAAGATGGGGAAAATGTTTTTGTGGGATTTGAGGGAGAGAGTGCAAAGATGTTATATAGGAGGCAGTTTTGAGAAGTATAAAAAATGTTCTCAGTTGTGACATCAGGCTATAAAATCCAGATCAAACTAATACTGATGCTAGTAGCAGTGATTTACCCATATTTTGGAATCGCCTGATCTCCAGATCCATTCTTCCCAGAAATCAGATTCTGACAGATGGCTAAACTCACAACTCTTAACTATCTATCAGAACCTGCCTCATCTCCCAGCCTTGCCTTACATTAGAAAGAATTTATGATGGACATTTTCTCTCTTGCAAGAAATCCACCATTCCCTGCAAACCTGTAGTTTATAAGAGCAGTAGTTACCAACTTTATTAACAAGGTAGGATTGAGTTTGACAAGAAGACAAGCAGATTTATACTGATGTTTCTGTTTTGCCTTAAGATCTAGTGGCCAAGACATTACACTTGTTTTATAGATGTGCCCTAGTTGGCACCTTTACTCCCAAATGGAAGGATCAGGTTTTGAATGGCAGGACATCTCATAGTTAAGGAGGTCAGCATAATAGCGGAGACTACTGCTTTTGTGCCACAAGCACTAGCTGGGCCAAAGAGGGCCAGCTGCATGGCCTAAAAAATGCACCTGGGAAAACTTTTTTAGTCTGTTTTGCTCCTGATGTCCTGATCTCCCCTAATTTGCTTGTCCTGAACCCTTTGCAGATGCTTCTACCTTGCCTTTATGGATTTCAGAATTGTTATTCCTAATTATGTCCTGATTGAAATTATACCTGAGAATGTATGTACATTAGATTCTCTTTTTGTTTTGTTGTCTGTAAATACAATTTAAAAAACAGATTGAATATGTGATGCTTTACAATGGTCTTCATTGTTTTTAAATTTAACTGACTTAGAACACATAGCCATATAATTTGTTCTAGAATAAATCAATAGCACATCCAAAATGACTAAATGATTTTATCAAGTACTGAAATTAATACTTTTATTATATCCCAAAGCCTCAAATAAATGTACATGGGAAGTTTTGAAAAGAAGGACTAGAGTTATATCAGGTATTCATTAAAAAATCTGTTTTTCTTTTAAATGTGTCATTAGGTGAGATACAGTGAAGAGAATATGTAAGTAATGAGGCTGTGTGACATTTCAGATTCAGTCTTAAAAAGGGGTTTCAGAGCACAAACACAGCACCTGCCCACCACACCTTAAATTATTTCTCCAGAATGTCACACCCATATTTACACAGTTAACTCAGATTTTACTGGGAAATATATCTCAATTATTAAAATAAGTCTTAATCTCATGCATGCATAGCTTGAGTATTGGAATAAATCTGCTCAAAGCTTATCTATGTTCCATATTTTCCTAAATATATTTATTTATTTAGCATATGGCTTCCTAAATATAAATATGGCAATATTTTTTTCTTTAAACTGAATGATTTTTTAAAAATGAAGTGTACATTATTTTTTCTGCAGCAAAGCATTATATACTACCAGCTCCTATAACTGTTACTAAATAGTGATATTTGTATGGGTACAAATTTAAAGTAGTGCTCATAATAGAGTAGGATTGCAAAGGACACCATAATTAATTTAATGGACTTTGGGTAGGTTACAAGACGATTTATACAATACAAAAACCAAAAGAAAAATTAAACATGTCAGAAGAATCTTCTGCTCCAGTTTGAATTGTGAGCCATCCGGAGTTGTTTTCCGAGATGGGTAGCTATAGAAATCAAGCAAACAAACAAATAAAATTGCAACTGATCTTTGCATGAGTTACTATTGCTGTACATCCTGGTCCAAGGCCCCAAATCCCACCTGTTGCTTTAAAAGGAGCTAATGCCTGGAGTTTTCATTAGGATCTTTTTGCTGTGCTAATTCATTTTTGCTATCTCAACCATTGCTCAAATTGAAAATATAACAAACTAAATTATGTTTGCTACTTTTTGGTTTTTAATGTAAACATGGTATGAATTCTTTGTTTCAATTATGAATAAATATCTATTTCAATTGTTTGTTTGTTTTTAGAATACTGTACTTTTTCATCCAATGTATTTTGGACTTTGCCCTTGAATTTCAATCCCTAAGAAAAACAGCAGTCACTATGCTAGGCAGTTTGTACTGTTACATTTTGCACAAAGTTTTATAGATTTTGCCTTCAAGAAAATATACTAAAATTAGTGTTTATACTTTAGTAAGACCAAACACAGATAAAGTAGGGATTTATGAATGGTATCTCCCATTTCTAGTACCCAAAAGTCAATTCCTACTTCCTACCTATCACTCTTGATCATGATGTTATGTTCATTTATAAGACGAAATCTAATCCAAAATGTTCCAAAAAGCCTGATTGCTGAAATATTGCTGATTTATTAAATGTTCTGAGTTTTACAAACAAAACAGGATGAACAATTACTCAAGTAAACAATAAAATAAAGTGTTTGTACATTTAAAACTTGAATATGAATTAATGCTGAACTGTCAATAAATCTTTTCATTCTGTTTCTTGTCACAAAAGAAAAACATAATTACAGCATAACAGGGTCAAAAGTGGGATGCAATAAGCCCTGTTTAATCTTACTCCTCATCCAAATGTAATTTTCTTTAATTTCATGACAATTTTGGCATTTGAATTAGAGTTACTTCCAACAATTTCAACACAAAACATCTTCACTCCTTCCTACAGGGTTTTTTTTTAACCTCTGTGATATCTGATGCTATTCTTTGCTTAAGCCAACAATCAATCACTTCAGTACTGCTATTTTAGCATCCATCATAGCAAGCTGTTGAAAGACTACTATGAAATATTCTGCATCATCTTGTTGACCTCTTTACAAGCTGGAGTTCACACGTATCTTCATTTAAAGTTTTAGTGTTTTGTTTATCCAAGGAATAGACATATGCAAAACTACAGATATTCTAGGAAACAAAAGCAATTGTAAGACATATACAGTTCTTTCAGTGGCTGATACATAGCATAATACTGCTGATACGTTATATAGCTGATACTATACTTAATTCAAGAAGGTTATTTTATCTGAAAAAAATGTGTTTTGCTTGGTAAATGTTCATAGGTGAGTTTGAACAAAATACTGATAATTAAGCATCCCTCTTTGTGGCTTAAAAACAGCTATTGGAAAATGCATTCCATTTTATCTCATTAAAGACTTGCTTGATGGTGAGATGGGTGGCATATAAATTTAATAAATAAATAAAAAATAACAGATAGTAGTTTAATTATCAGAAGGAGTGAATGGATCATAATTCTTCCCACAGGGTTTTCCTTTCTTAAATACTAATTCTATTGTCCTTAATGATGAGTGTGTTAAATAGCAAATATATCTAGTAGGACTATCCTGGTGTGAAGATAAATAGCTTCAAAAATAAGCACTTTTGAGATTCAAAAATGTGCACAATGTTCAGGTAACTGGATCTCAAGCTGCAGTGCTAAAAATTATAGCAAGCATCATTGACAATATACAAGGATCTCCATTATAAAACAATGCAGCCAACTTTTTTCCACCCACAAGGATCTTTTTTAATTAAAGCTAATCTGTTTTATTAGTTAATATGCATGGGTACGTAGAAAAATTGAGTGAATATATAACTAACACATGTAAAAATATATCTCCTTTCTTTGAATAGTCATTTTGTTAATTTTCCTTTGAAATGTCAGGTGAAAACTGACCCACACATTACATTGAACAGTTCATTAAAATTGTATTTTCTTGATGACCTAGAACAGGGGTCCTCAAACTTTTTAAACATGGAGCCAATTCATGGTCCTTCAGACTGTTGGGGGGCCAGACCGGCTGGGTGAGTGTGGCTAAATGGTCATGTGACTGGGTGGGCATAGCTAGGTAGTCATGTGATTCAGTGGGCATGGCCAATTTAGCAGTCCATTAAACAATGCACACAAATTAAACTTTCATTTGTTTTGCTCCTGGGGGTGTTTTATTTGCTTTTGTTTGCATGTTGTTCTTTTGGCTGACTTTTTTTTTTCTAGATTGTTTTTTCAGGTTTTTAGGAGTGTAGTGGTCCACTTCAGGAAACTCAGTTTTGCAGCAATTCTTCTCAGCCCCAAGGAGCTTACAATCAACAAGTCTCTCTCTGTGAGTGTCTCTCTTCTCTCTCTCTCTCTCTCTTTCCCTTCCTCTCTGTCTATCTCTGTCTATCTCTCTCTTTCTCTCTCTCTGTCTCTCTTTCTCTCTCTATCTTCTGGAGGTGAGGGAGGTCAAAAATGGGGTGCGCAGACACCCTGGGAGGCTCCGTGAGCCCTGTTTTTGGCCTCCCAGCGCCTCAGCAGCACTCTGCCGGCCAAAAATGTTGGCCTTACCTTCCAGTAAGCCCGCGGGGCTCACAAACCAAGTCCTGTGCTTAGCCAAAGGGTGGGGGCCGCCAGGAGGGGTGGGGTGATATGGGCGGGGCAGCCTTATGGTCCTGTGCAGACTGTATTAATGGCTTCAGCGGGCCATATTTGGCCTGCAGGCCGTAGTTTGAGGACCCCTGACCTACAACATAGAGCTCCTATAAAGAATAATCCCACGTCAGTCTGTGCTTTAAAGTCTTAGTTTATATTTACTGACAGATATGTAAAAAGAGAGAAAGTGGATATATCTACTGCTATTAAGGTTACTCATTTTTAAATAAATTATTGGTTCCTTCAAAAAAAAGTAAAATTTCATCTTCACCATATTTATTGACATCATTGTTAAAGCTTCTGTCTCCCACAGGCCATAGTCACAAAATTTTACTTTTGTACATTTAAAAAAAAAGGGTTATTATATAATTTTTATAAATTAAAATATTAATAAAACTATTTTAAAAACCTAAATGCACAAAATGTTACTTACCATGGAAAAGAAAATATATATTAGGTTGCACTTTAAAATCCAAAATTTTCACATTTGACATAGAAGTTCCAGTATTCCTCTCCTGCATGCCATGGCAGAAATTCTTCATCTGTTATTAACATTATTTTGTTGAACTGTAGAAAGCAGGGTGTTTTTGAGGAATTAGCCTGACAGGAAGAATCTATTAAAAACATGAAACACACAGTAAATTAATCTATTAGCTCCAAATTAATCTATTAGCCCCAAATTTAAAATGCCCATAGGAGATCTCTTTCCTGCAGTGAACAAGAGAAGACAAATTTACAGTCAGTTCTATAGTCTCTATAGATTCCATAAGTTTTAACCACAAGTCTATTAATCATGTTCACTTATCCTTATTACGCTAACAAAATCTGCCATATTCAAGGTGAAGGGATTAAGTTATACTGTATTAATGTATGGTCATTTTCTTGAAATGCATGCAAATGTTTTATGAAAATTCATTTAATTTCTTAGTAAATATTGAATAGTTCTATACTATAGATTAGTCTGTGATATAATGCTAACCCAAAATGCTTAATGAACAGATATGCACATTTTTATCCAAATCTCATTTTGCATTAATGGTTTCTTTCAGATAGAACATTAAATTATGGCATTTGTAAAATATGTTTACCCATATTAACTAGCCTAGTTTCTTTTTTTTCTTTCCTTTTTCTTTTATTCAATCGTCTTTCATTCTAGGAGACTGCCTGGATAAGGCCCTGCAGTTTGGTATACTTAGTTTACTCAACTAAATTACTGGGTTAATTTGCACACTGAACTATCCAATATCTAATGTGTAATGTTCATTATGATAATGTCAGAAAGCATACAGAGTTACTACCTCCCTCCCTCAACAATGACCATTATCACCAACTCTTGCCCTTCCTCTCCTAGGCCAAGGGCATCATCAAGTCTTTCTTCTGTTAGTAATGGTAATACATTAAAGCAGAATGTTTCAAAACATGTCTGTCCGTCCGTCCGTCCGTCCATCCATCTTGACTGGGTTTTCTTGATGCTTTCCAATATTCTGCTTCTTTGAAATATTTTGCCTCATTAAATCTGTTATCCACTCAGGATTTTGGACTTCAGATGAAATCTCCCAACAGATTTTATTATCCATCTAATTAAATGGAAACTAAGTGATGATTCTGTCAGGTATATTCATTATGATAATGTCAGAAAAAACAGTTTATCAATCTGACATCTTGTCAAACTGGAAGTGGGCTTCAAGTAAAGTGCTACAGTGTTGGCCAATATTTTTCTGTATCTTCAGACATGACTTAAGTAAAAAGGGAATCCAACTCTGCGTCATCCATAAAAAGCAGATGACAAATATCACAGCAGATGTAGAAGAGACTATAAAATACTTTTGATAGAAAATGGAGCAACATTCCACAAAGACAAATGCAACAAAATGTATGCCAAAACATCAACCATCAAATGAACAAATGCAGGATGGGATCTAGCTGGCATTGCAATACTATACTGAAAGTTCTTGATTTATGATGGCAATTGGAACCGGAATTTGGACTTTCACTTCACTGGCTAGAAAATTCTGGAAGTTAAAGTCCATACATCTTAAAGTTGCCAAATTTGAAAAACACTGCTCTATATTCTAAAAGGAAATGGCTTTGTGGCTAAAATAGTACTAATCTTGCCCAGAACCACATAGAATTTCTTCCTTGATGAAAAGCCAGTGAAAGTATATACATGAGGTACAAAGTTTTTATGCTAACCAACCGCTTGTCCAAATAACTTGTTTTAAATAATACCTCAGGGTCTGGGCCTATCAATTTATTTTGACTTACTGTCCGTCAATTACTATATGTTCCTGGGTTTGAAGCATTAATCCTTCATTCCAGATTGATTGGAACGGATCTACTTGGATTGCTTAACAGAATATCTGAAACAAGCTTTAGCCTATTCTCCTAAAGTTCTAAAAAAAGGTTTTCTCTCCTGCCTGCATTTATAGCTATTTGCTTCCGCATGTTTTTGTTTCATAGTTTGTTTCATAGTATCCATTTTACTTAGAGGAAGTTGCTAGCTAAGCTACTTATATCTTAGACTTATATGAGATATTTACAGAAAGAGGAAAAATCAATCCACAGAGATTTTTGAAGGCATTGTGAAATGCACTAGAAGGGATTAGTATTTTGTTTGCTGCAAAGATCAGTTTAGGAAATTAGGGAGACTGCAAAGTGCCAAAGAAAGGCAGGAATGCCCTGATCCTTCCTTTATTTCCTTACTTTTTTGGTGGACAAGAAAGTACATTTTATTTCATCTCTCTCTTTTGATCTTAAAACAAGCACACAGGACCCAACAACAATGACTAAAATATATGAAGATTTGGACAGTGACTATATGTCACCAAAAAAATGCCTGGACGTCTTATTTAATTACAAATTACTATCACTGTGCTGCCTTGCCTTACATATAAAAGGGATTCCAGCGTAGATCCTGACACGTCTTAGTTTCTAATATTATTTTGCTATGACAAGATCTCCTATCTCTGTGCCCCAAGCAAAAATTATATTAGCTGGAGATACTAATGCAAGACTAGGTCCCTCAATGAAGAGCTATATATCCCTATACTTTCTCGTCCAACAAAACCTCAACCTCTATCGATTATATCTGCATTTCCTCTAGTTTAGTACACCATTTTTCAGAAGTAAGAGCTATATTTAGAGAGGAAAGTGACCACTTTCCCATCACAGCTCTGGTTTCACTCTCTTCAGAAGTTAGGCCTCATTCAAGAGAGGAAATTGACACCTTAGCAAACGCCCGGGTTTATAACTATAAAAGGTTATATTGGCACAGACTTAGTATCAAATCTGTCACCACTTATTTGGGCTCAGATGAAGCCAGACACCTAGCAAGGGAAATCTCCAATCTAAGCCCGGAGACAACACCCCAATGCCAGTTTATATAGAGCTAACTTCTACTCTTAGGAACTTAATGATCCAGAACGATAGAAAAGTAGATGGGATCTCTAGAAAGTGGTTTGATGATGATTGCCATAACTTGAGGTCAAATCTAAGAGCCGCAGTTAAGAAAGTTAACCGATCCAGACAGGATGGTGATTATTCAAATATGGTTCAACTCAGGAGAGCATACAAATCCCTACTGAAAAACAAGAAAAGTAGCTATAACACCAGGATGTGGAAAGAGGTAGAAATGGCAAGGCAATCCCAATTTCCTACGATCTTTTGGCATAAGATAGCCGGTATATTAAAACAACGTTCCCCATTTATGGACACTGATATATCAGCAGTAAAATGGAGAAGCACTATCTTGCTTTATTTGATGGTAACAATACAACAACTAACGGAACTGAATGTTGGTTTTAATCCTTTGCTCATAACAAATAAGGAAATGAGAAACAACTTTGTTCTTGTTTCTGTGTGGTGTAGGCAACAGGATGTCCAAACTAAGAGAAAGGGCAATATTTAGAAAGCAGAGGGAGTTTCTTTTGGCTGGAACCACAGAAGAAAAGAACAGGTAATCCTTGACTGGCAACTACAATTGAGCGCAAAATTCCTGTTGCTAAACAAGACAGTTGTTAAGTTTTGCCCCATTTTACTACCTCTCTTGCCACAGTTGTTAAGTGGATCATTGCAGTTAATTTAGTAACACTGTTGTTTATATCACAAGACATGATTGAGAATAGTCTGATGTTTAAATCATATGTTAGCAGGATACCACATACCTAGGAGAAATATAAATACTATGTATAATTTCAGTGAAGCAACAATTTACAAGCAAAAATAAAGAAAAAAATTGCCTAAATTTATTTATTAGTTCGATTTATATGCCACCCTTCTCCAAAGACTCAGGGCAGCTTACAATGCACTTATACAATGCACTTATAGCAATAGCGTTCATTCTTTTGTTTATACCTGCTTATTATTTATATGTATGTATGTATGTATGTATGTATGTATGTATGTATGTATGTATGTACATATATATGCCGCCCTTCTCCGGAGACTCAGGGCGGCAATAGCCTTCATACTTTTGTATATACCTGCTTAGTAGGGCTTTCGGCCCCCTCTAAACGGTGTTCTTTTTTATACAAAGTCAGCTTATCGCCCCCACAATCCGGGTCCTCATTTTACCTACCTCGGAAGGATGGAAGGCTGAGTCAACCTTGAGCCTGGTGAGATCTGAACTCGCAGTAATTGCAGGCAGCTGGCAGCTAAGTGCTACTTAACAGCACTTTAGTCTGCTGCACCACCAAGACTCATTAGGGCTTTTGGCCCCCCATAAGCAGCGTCGATAAAATCAATTATTTTTTTATCTAGTTTTAATGATTGGCTACAATCAGGGACAACACTATACAGGTGGTATACAGGAAGTCCTCAACTTACAACAGTACACGTAATGACTATTATAATAGCACTGAAAAAAGTGATTTATGATTGTTTTTCATTGTTACAACCTTTGAAGCATCCCCATATTCATATAATCAAAATTTGGATGCTTGGCAACTGGTTTATACTTATGATCATTTCGGTGTCCTAAGATCATGTGATCACCTTTTGGGACCTTCTGATAAGCAAAACCAATGGGGAAGCAGACTCACTTAACAACCTTGTGATGCCCTCGACGTGATGGCCCAGTGCCCGGAAGCGGTATGGGTCTCGATGGGTAGAAAAAGACTGCAACTCAACCCGGCCAAGACCGAGTGGCTGTGGGTACTGGCATCTCGGTTCAGGGGAGAGGTGCCATCGCTGACTATAGGGGGTGAAGTTTTGCCCCCTGTAGATAGGGTGCGCAACTTGGGCGTCCTCCTGGATTCACGGTTGAGCTTAGAAGACCATATAATGACCATGACCAGGGGGGCATTCGCCCAGATACGTCTGGTGCACCAGTTGCGTCCCTACTTGGACTGAGATGCCCTACGCACAGTTACTCATGCACTGGTCACCTCACGGATTGACTACTGCAATGCTCTCTACATGGGGCTGCCCTTGAGGACCACTCGGAGGCTTCAGCTGGTGCAAAATGCAGCCGCGCAGGTTGTGATGGGAGAATCCCGATACTCCCATGTTACACCCCTCCTGCGCGGCTTGCATTTGTTACTGGTTGCCCTCCGGGTGAGATTCAAGGTGCTGGTGATGACCTATAAAGCCCTACATGGCTTAGGTCCAGGATATTTGGCGGACCACCTACAGCCAGCAACGATATCCCATCGACCAGTTCGCGCCTATAGAGAGGGCCTGCTCAGGGTGCCATCGGCTAGACAGTGTCAGCCGGCGGCCCCCAGGGATATAGCCTTCTCTGTGGGCGCACCCGCCCTCTGGAATCAACTCCTCTTGGAGCTCCGATTAGCGCCTGACCTTCGCACCTTCCGCTGTGAATTAAAAACTTGGCTTTTCAAATCCCTTGACCTGGACTGAGGGGGTTTTAAGCGTTAAATTTTAAATTTTTTAGATTTTACATTTTATTTTGTATTGTGGCTTGTGTTTTTATTATTGTGAGCCGCCCTGAGTCCATTGGGAGATAGGGTGGCATATAAACCAAATAAAATAAATAAATAAAATAAATAAAAATAAACCTTATGATTAACTTAACAACTGCAGTGATTCACTTAACAACTGTGGTAAGAAAAGTAGTAAAATGAGGCAAAATTCACAACTAATTTCTCACTTAACAACTGAAATTTTCGGCTCAATTGTGGTCATAAATCCAGGACTACCAGGATTATCGCTTTTATACATTACTATAAATTTTTAAAATTAGTTTTAACTAAGAATCACTAATTATTTTCTCTTCTAAAACCAATGAGTTTGCTTAAAGGTAACCTGATGAATTCAGTGGGACTTACTTTAAGTGCACATATATAGGATGGCCCTGCTAGTGCTACAGTGATCACTCTTCTACCTATGGGCATAGCTAAACAGTCAAGTGTAGAATAGAGATCCACATCTAAGTAACTCCTCGTGATAAATCAGAGATAGATGGAGACAGCTTCATCTTTTGTCAGTGACCATAGACAGGAAAAGCAAGTAGAAGGATGTGGCATATGGTTTTTAGTGGCCTTGCTTGGTTGCTAATGTGCTGGTGTGAGTCAGCTGAAGCAGAGAACAAAAAGGACAGAAGCTCAGGTATGGCTGTGGAATGCAACGGTGCTGTCACAAGGACTCTTGAGCATGAACAATCCCACTAGCCAGGACAGTTATGGGGCAGATGTAGGCAACCTTCCCATTGGTCAAGCTTTGTGTATTCTGTAGGTATTGGGGATTAAAGCCCTGGAGGGGAAAATACTCCAGTTCACTCATGAAAGAGAATGAGAAAGAGGAGAGAAAAAGAGAGCTACATTACTGTGTTTTAGCAAATATTACAGAATATGCTTTTGGAAAGACTATGTTAGAAAACCTAGTAAGTGTGTGGGATAGTTTGTCTGTGCTGTTACAAATTCCTGCCCCCAGGAAAGGGATGAGAATTTATATCATACTGGAAATAGTACTTCAGTCAATACATACCAAGCAGATTTTTTTGTTGCAACAATACTTCTTGTTCCGTAGGAACATGCATTTCATTAACAATTGTTGATAATGGCCTTCCACAGTATGTGACCTGAAAACAGCAGACAATATATTAGTCATCTGAGATGAAAAAGGCTCTTGAAAAAATGTTTCACAATGAGCAGGAGTGTGGATAAAATGTCTCTTTTGGAATCCTAAAAATAGCTGCATCTTTTGCAACATTCATGTAACTGCCTTCAAGACGCATCCAGCTAAGGGCAGGCTCAGTTATAAGTGTGAAAACTGGTCCTAAGTCACTTTTTTCAGTGCTGCTGTAACTTCAAATAGTCACTAAACAAATGGTTGTAAGTCGAGGACTACCTGTATAAGCTTTGCAAAATATTGTGGTCATTTTAAAGATTTGAAAAGAGATGCTTCATTCACAATTCTGTGGGTTTCAAGGCATCTTTTTCAAGACTTTCACACATTACAATTAGTCTCTGAGGGTTTTATAGGTCTTTTATGATAAATCAAGAAACATTATTTTGTACATTTCCTGCAAATCAAGTATAAGAAAATAAAATGCCAGCATCAAATATAGAAAATGATAGTGTATGCATTTATTTATTTAATCACATTTGTATAGGTGCACATCTCACATAGTGACTCTATGTGGGGTACGTCATAAAACAGTCAAAATGCCCACAAAATATTCATTAAAACAATAAATTTAAATGAAAAATAAAACAAAAACAAATGAAAACTAGAATGTTGTCCAAACATACCAAAGAGTATATTCCACTAGTAAATATCATACAGCCATTTAGCAGGCTCCGTTCTGTCATGGGATTCCCAAACTAGAACTGAGTTTTAAGGGCCTTGTGAAAGGCCAAGAGAGTTAGGGCCAGCCTTGCCTTGGGGTGCAATGGTGGCAGAGAAGGTTTTTCTCCTAGGCCCCACTCTACCAAACTCCTTGTCCCACAGAACCCATAACATGTCCTTCCTCCCAGACCTAATGGGAGGATATAACTGAGGAATGGCAGTCCCTCAATTATCACAGTTGATGCCAGGTGGGGCTTTATAGGTTATAACCAGCATCTTGAATTGGATCTGGAAGCAAACTGGCAATCAATGTAGCTCGCATGTGCAGATCTTTAACCATACATTACTACCTGTACCACTGCACTTTGTAGCAGTGGAAGCTTCCAGATACTCTTCAAGGGCATTCCCATATAAAAGTTCATTTAGGATTTGACCAGGGCTTGTGTGGCTGAGAGCAGATCTGCAGCAATTCTTTTCTGATTTGAGTTAATGATCTGATAAATTCCATTTGAACAATATGTTGTTTATATAACAGAATATGCTTTTTTATACATACTAAAATATACATTTCCCATTTGAGCTTTAGGATATGTTTTGGGTTTTTCCCTCCCATTTGTCAAGCTTTAATTTGAAGCCCAGCTAGAAAGCCCACTTCTCAAATTAATGCTACCAACGTTTGCTGAATGCATGCTGATTTTCACAGCAAGGGTAAGGGGGAAAAAATGATTAAGTAAGCATCACAATGAAATATTCTGATCTTTAATATGTGCATTGTGATGTTACACACATTTGCACAAAGGATAGAACTTTCATTACAACATGATGATGCTAGTTTTCTGTCATTCTGACAAAATATTTGGACTCTGCAGAAGCTTTTGCAGGTGAGGTTGTGTTACACTTGTGGCATACTATCAGGTTCTAGTGGTTTTCTTCACATACTGATTAGCTCCCCTCTCTTCTGAAACCTCAATATATCAATATTTTAATGCCTGGGCTACAAGAGTGCAAATGTACTTCTTTGCTATTTTGTTGTCATCTAGGATGACAAATCCTCCTGCTACCAATCAAGTCTTGACCTACATCCAAGCAACCAGCCTCCTTTGAATAGTGTGTAAATATGGTTTATTTCTATGTGTTTATTGATGGCTGCCGTGAATTCTGTTTCAACAATCACAAATGAGACATTCCAGACCAGAATACTTTTTTAACATTACTGTAATACCCTAACATGGGTGTCAAAAATGCAGCATCATGTTGCTGTCACGTGACGTATTGTGACATTTTCCCCCTTTGCGGAGCTGGGGTAAGTGTGGCCTGTGGGTGACACATCTGGCCCACAGGCCGCCAATTTGACACTCCGGCCCTAGTACATTGAAGTTTTCATTTTATTGGAATGTAAAACATCTAATAAAAAAAAATCTATTGAAATTGATAACTCAAGTAGTAGATTATTACCATTATCGTCATCATTATCATCATCATCATACCTTATTGTATACATATTTCCAGCTTACACAAATGTCATTTCCCAATATTGCCTTAATCCATTGAACTGGATTTTGATAAACTGAATTGCTTCCAGTTTGGACTTTTCCATTTCCAAGAAGGCTAGCTTTATGTTTGGAATCCTGAAAGAAAAAGAAAACAAAAACAAATGAGAGAATTATAAATTGCCTAAATTTAGCAATAGCAATAGCACTTAGACTTATATATTGCTCCATAGTGCTTTATAGCACTCTCTGAGTGATTTACAATGCAAGCATATTGCCCGCACCAATTTGGGTCATTCTACCAATCTAATTTAAGAAGAAATATACAAATATTTATTTTTAATAAAATATTTTAAAAGTGGTATAATAATCAAAATAAAATAACTCTTGTAATTTCATAAAGTCTACTGTATAGTTGATTTATCTGAAAGCTCCTGTAAGCAAAATAAATCCAAAATCCACAGTGCCATGAGTTCTTCCCTCTCTTATCTGTATTTAAAATTCTGTAGTTTAGTATAATTTCTAATATTTTGCTTCCTTGGCTTTGAATTAGTTATGGATTCTGGCTAATTCTCCTGGATAGATAGCTATGTGTCTTCTGACAGATTTATTTATTTATTTAACAATAAAAATAAATGCAATAAAAATGACTCTTGATAACTTATATAAAAAGAGAACCTGGGTAATTTGGGATATGGTTTCTCCACTACATTTGAGTTAATTCCTCTATTGTGTAATAACGTCTGTAGAAATAACAGTTGCTATACATTACTGTCACAATACTGCCTCAGTGGGAAAAAAACCCTTGCTTTTGAAAGGAAATAACAGAAAAAGAAAAAAAAGAGAATTGTAACCGTCTACTGCCGTGATGGCGAACCTATGGCATACGTGCCACAGGTGGCATGCGGAGCCATATCGGTGGGGACGCGAGCATTGCCCTAGCTCAGCTCCAGCATGCATGCGCATGCCAGCCAGCTAATTTTCGGGCCTTCCGGGCCCACCAGAAGTCGGGAAACAGGCTGTTTCTGGCCTCCAGAGGGCCTCCGGGGGAGGGGGAGGCCATTTTTGCCCTCCGGGCTCTAGAAGCTCTGGAGCCTGGGGAAGGTGAAAAACGGGCCTTCCGGTCCCACTGGAAGTTGGGAAACAGGTTGTTTCGGCCTCCAGAGGGCCTCGGGGGAGGGGGAGGCCATTTTTGCCCTCCCAGGGCTCCTAGAAAGCCTTGGAGCCTGGGGAAGGTGAAAAAAGGGCCTTCCGGTCCCACTGGAAGTTGGGAAACAGGTTGTTTCCGGCCTCCGAGGGCCTCCGGGGGAGGGGGAGGCCATTTTTGCCCTCCCAGGGCTCCTAGAAAGCCTCTGGAGCCTGGGGAAGGTGAAAAACGGGCCTTCCGGTCCCACTGGAAGTTGGGAAACAGGCTGTTTCTGGCCTCCAGAGGGCCTCCGGGGGGAGGGGGAGGCCATTTTTGCCCTCCCAGGGCTCCTAGAAAGCCTCTGGAGCCTGGGGAAGGTGAAAAACGGGCCTTCCGGTCCCATGGAAGTTGGGAAACAGGTTGTTTCCGGCCTCCAGAGGGCCTCCGGGGGAGGGGGAGGCTGTTTTCACCCTCCCAGGCTCCAAGAAAGAAATTTGGGTATGGGCGCGCGTGTGTGTGACCCCCCTGCGCTCCCCCGCTTTTGGCACACAACGGCAAAAAGGTTAGCCATCACTGGTCTAGTGGATAGATTTTTTAGTGGCAATGTAAGTTGAGTCATTATTGCATCTATGTTTTGTCTCAGTGCTTTCTAACATATTGCTGAAATACAATACCTACCATAGCAGAATGGCATATCATAGTTACCGAAACACAACACTACGCTTTAGTTTGTGTTCTTAATGTTTAATTACAAAAGTGCTGTACTGTGCTTCCTATTTTAGAACATGAGAGGGAAAAGGGCAGGGAAACAGCACCAAAAATGGTGATTCATGCTTAGAAGCAGTGCACTAGCTTGAATACCGAAATTCTAATCAAGGCTTGAACTATTTTTTTTACAAGTTTAATGAATACATTGTGCAACTGGAAAAGATAAAATGATAACCAAATATTCTAGTTACAGTATATAAATAATCTGCTATAAGAATAATATATTCATCTAAAAGCACAATTAACTTTTTATATTATCCTTTCAATCTCTTGCTCATATCTCCAGGCTCATATTTAATTACATAATCCTTGGAGCCATCACATTTTTTAAACACAAAGAACTCTGTATTTTAAAAGGTTACTAAGTTGTTATTTCTGTCCTGGCAACAAATGTTATCTACTATATAGAAAATAGGTTTCATTTTCAGAATTTTCTTTTAATTTTTATAATAAGTATATTCCAGCAATCTGGGACATAAAAAAGACCACTCCCAACATTAAACAAAATACTAAATTAACTCCAATTTCCAAAGTAACTCTTTGGTCAGGTGATTATTGCTGTATTTTTTTAATGTAAGTCTAGATCCTAGGGACAGCCTAGGTTATTAAAATGTGATAATTTTGATCTAAATTTATTCAACTGGTTTTGTTTACCAAAGCAGTTCTAGTAAGAAAGATTTCTCATACCACCTAAGCAGCAGTGTTATTGCTTGCTTCATTTAAACCAGAATGTCTTATACAAAGACACTGAAAGTCAAACTAGGACACATAAGACCAAATATTTAAAAAATGCTAATTCCACATGAATTCAGTAATGCATTTGACAAAGTAGACCACAATCTACTTCTTGGTAGCCTAGAAAAACATAGAATAGACAACATCACCACCAGATGAATTTGTAGCTGGCTGACAAACTGTACTCAACGAGTAGTTCTTAACAATACCAAATTCACATGGAGAGAATTAAGCAGTAGGGTACCATAAGGCTCCGTCTTAGGCCCAGTACTCTTCAATATCTTCATAAATGACTTAGATGAGGGAATAGAAGCAGAATTCATCAAATTTGCAGATGATACTAAACTGGCAGGAATAGCCAACACCCCAAAAGACAAACATAGGATCCAGAAAGATCTTGACAAACTTGAACAATGGACCCTATCCAACAAAATGAATTTTAATGTGGAGAAAAGCAAAGCTTTACATTTAGGTAGGAAAAAGCAAAGTTATATGTATAGATTAGGCGAGACAGCTCAAAACAGTAACTGTGAGAGGGACCTTGGAGTCCTAGTGAATGATCACTTGAATATGAGCCAGCAGTGTGCAGCAGCAGCCATAAAAGCTAATATCCTGGGTTGTATAAACAGGCATAGAATCAAGATCGTGTGAAGTATTAGTGCGGCTTTACAAAACACTAGTAAGACCACACCTGAAATACTGCAACCAATTTTGATCTCCATACTACAAAAAAATGTGAGACTGGAAAAAGTTCAGAGAAGAGCAACAAAGATGATCAAAGGCATGGAGACTAAACCATATGAAGAACGGCTGCAGGTTTTGGTCTGCTTAGTCCAGTGGTCGGCAACCCGCGGCTCCAGAACCACAAGCGGCTCTTTGGGCCCTCTGCTGCAGCTCCCTGTCCCATCACTGGTTTGCCACGCCCCTCATTTCTTTTTTGGACTCCAGCCCGAAGCGGCAGGAAGAGAAGGCTGCCTTACGCGCAAATGTGGTGTGAAGGCAGGTACAGAGAACCTTCGCTCCTGCACTCTCCTCCCCTCTCCTCCTCTTGTAACCCCTTGGCTGGCTGTGGCTGAGCTGGAAGTGTGTGCATGTGCGGAGAGACCCTTCTTAAGCGAGCCGCTGCCCGCCCCTCTGCACGCCTTTCCTGAGCTTTGGTGCTCACTTGAGGAGGATCTCCCTGTGCGTGTACATGCTCCTGGCTTGGCCACAGCTGTCCCAGGCGTCCTGAGAGGAGGAAGGGAAGAGGGACGCCGGAGAGTGCAGGAGTGAAGCTGCCCTGTACCTGCCTTCATCCACATTTGCACATAAGGCAGCCTTCGCTTCCTGCCACTTCAGGCTAGAGTCTCCCTTCACGTGCGAACGCTCCCGGCTCAGCCACAGCTGGCCAGGGAGTTACGAAAGAAGGGGGAGGGGGAGGACTGTAGCCTGAAGGGAGTGGGGGGGAGAGAGAGAGACACACACACACAGACACACACACAGAGTGATATACAGAGAGGGGGTGAGAGTGACATAGAGAGACACATACAGAGTGATACATAGAGAGTGGGTGAGAGAGAAGAGAAGAGGGACAGACACAGAGATACAGAAAGGCGGGGTGGTGAGAGACACACAGAATAGTTTTGTGGCTGGGTAGGCGTGGCTAGGTGGTCATGTGACTGGGTGGGAGTCAGTGACATCAAGTTGACCACTCCCACCCAGGTTTTGTGGCTCTCAGTGTGTTTTTTTTTTCTGTAGGAAATGGGTCCAAGTGGCTCTTTGAGTGTTTAAAGTTGCCGACCCCTGGCTTAGTCTAAAGAAAAGAAGAATTAGGTGACATGATAGCAGTATTCCGGTATTTGTGTGGCTGCCACAAAGAAAAGGGGGTCCAAAACATTATTCTCCAAAGCACCAGAGGCCAGGACAAGAAACAATGGTTGGAAACTAATCAAAGAGAGAAGCAACCTGGAATTAAGGATAAACTTCCTAACAGTGAGGACAATTAACCAGTGGAACAGCTTGCCTTCAGAAATCGTGGCCACTCCATCACTGGAGGTTTTTAAGAAGAGAGTAGACCCGTGATGGCGAACCTATGGCATGTGTGCCCAAGGTGGCACACAGAGCCATCTTTCTGGGCATGCATGCTGTTGCCCAGCTCACCTACAGCTGGGCATACATGTGCGCCCCAGCTGGTGTTTGGGCCTCTGATGCACATGTGCGCAATTCAGGGGACCCTCTGAGCATCAGAGCTCTCCTGATGCTGCAATTGCACGTGCAGTGCATGGGGGGGGGAGCCGCACAAAACCTGCGTGCATGCACAGACGGTGCAATTGCACACGCAGCGCACAGGGAGTCACGTGAAAGCAGATGGTGTGGTTGTACGCGCAGTGCATGGGGCCGCACATGAAATCCGTGTGCATGTGTAGTTGGTGCAGTTGTGCACGGAGCGCACAGGGGAGGAACAGCGAGTTAGCGCGGATAGTGCGCTCACGCATGAAGTGCATACCTGTTTGGTACTTGGTGAGTAAAAGGTTCGCCACCACTGGACTAGAGAGTCACTTATCTGAAATGGTATAGGTTCTCCTGGTTGAGCAGGGGGCTGGGCTAGAAGACCTCCAAGGTCCCTTCCAGCTCTCTTCTATTCTATTCAACTCAAAAAGGTAAATATAGGTACAGATTTATCTCAAGGATCCTCTTAATTACTTAGTTGCTTAGTAGGTAATAATAAGAGATCTCACCAGCTGTTTAAAATTTCTCTGGTATTTGTCAGGACTGAATATGATAGAGAATTTCCTGTGGAGGGCTGAAGGCAATACTGGTATACAAAACTCATGTTTCTGAGACTGCATCAGGGGTAGGTTCTAAATTTTTTTACTACCGGTTCTGTGGGCGTGGCTTATTTTGTGGGCGTGGCTTGATGGTCATGTGACAATTATTTAGGATTTAGCAGAGGTACTGGTCTACCAGGCTTTTAACTGCTTGCAGAGCTGTACTGATCTACTCATGTATTTTTTGCAGGCACTGGTCTACCCATTTATTTTTGCAGGCACTAATTTACTCATGTATTTTTGCAGGCACTGGTCTACCCATTTATTTTTGCAGGCACTGATCTACTCATGTATTTTTGCAAGCACTGATCTACTCGTGTATTTTTGCAGGCACCAGTCTATTCATTTGTTTTCTTTTAACACTGATCAGCTGTAGGGCGGCCCTTTGAAGCCTGCAGCAAGAGTTTAAACAGTTTTTTTCCCTCTAGTCTTCAGCTGGGACTCAGGAGGCAGTAATAGATTGGGGGTGGGGGGGCAAATAAAAGGTAAGAATAATGCGGGGGTGGGGGGTGGGGGGCGGGGGGCGGGGCCCAGAACCGGTTCGGTGACATCATATTGTTACCGCTACTGGCTCGGCGGAACCAGGCCAAACCAGGAGGAACCCACCACTGGACTGCATGCACAGAAAATATGAATTTTTATTATATAGGGCATAAGTACTTGTGCAATTTATTATCACAAGACATGGTGATGACTGCTGATTTAGATAGCCTTACATTCACAAAGACAGGTCTGTTCAAACTATTATTCTTGATACTCTCAGTCTTATCTCTAAATTGGGAAGAGCATGCTTCAAATATTAGCTAAAGGAATAGAAAATTGGAAGAATGGTAAATCTTCATCTGCTTAGCAATTCTAATTGAGGCATTTGAGAAAAATAAAATCATTTTTGGTTTAATCCTTTAGGTCTATTCAAATGGTCTTACATACCATATCAAACCTTGTTGTAGGTTTGTCCACATTTTTCAAGGTCTAGGAAAATGCACATCATGTAATAGATACAAATTAGCCCCTTTTTTAAATATTAGGGACAATGATTTCCTATTACTGAAAATGGGGTAAATGACAAATGTCCACTGGGAGCAACTGTAAAAACCTCATGTAATCATTTAGAACCAAGACAAGCCAATCAAAGGAGAATATAGCTTCTCTCAACTCTTATTTTTAACATCAGGATAAAGAGCAACAGAAACTGATATTCCACAATACAGTTCCTAAATCTGTTGAATTAAGATAGCATGACCAAGGAGCCTGAGTGGTGTAGGAGGCTAATGCCTCCTACTAAGGCAGCATTTAACATCCAGCTGCCTGCAATTACTGCGAGTTCAATTCTCACCAGGCTCAAGGTCGACTCAGCCTTCCATCCTTTCTAAGGTGGGTAAAATGAGGACCCGGTTTGTGGGGGCAATAAGCTGACTTTGTATAAAATATACAAAAGTATGAAGGCTATTGCTTAGCGCATTGTAAGCCGCCCTGAGTCTCCGGAGAAGGGCGGCATATAAAAAATAATAAATAAATAAATAAATAAATAAATAAATAAATAAATAAATAAATAAATAATTTGACAAGGCTTTTCCAGAGAGGCTCAATCAAGTTTCTTTGCTGGAGTTAAAAAACACTACAACATTATTTTCATTTATAATAGCATTAGCACTTAGACTTATATATGATAGCATAATGCTTTACAGCATTCTCTGGGCGGTTTATAATGTAAGCATATTTTCCCCAATGATCTGAGTCCTCATTTTACCAACCTCGGAAGAACGGAAGGCTGAGTGAACCTTGAGCCCATCAGGATTGAACTCCAGGCTGTGGACAGAGTTAGCCTGCAGTACTGTATTCTAACCACTGAGCCACCGGGGCTCATTCTTCTGTAAAAACTGAAGTTTTTTTCTGTAAATATGTATATAGAGAACTTAATTATTAAGGAAAATTGTTATAATTATATAGAGCTTTGGTATAATGCAATATTTATTATTAAGATTTTAAACTGTGCATTAATATGCAATTATATTACTTTGCAAATGAATTATTTACCTGTAGTGTGAATTCTAAAACGTCATCTCCTGGCTTAATTTTTCCCAGTTCAAGCAGATTTAATAGTTGATTTTTTTTCTTCCTGTTTTTCTTGAAATGTAGGTCTTTTTCAGAATCTTGATTCTTCAAATACTGGGAAGTTTTCTGACTGATCATGTTTTGTGATATTACCTGAGAAAATGGCCCTGGAGATTCTAAATTAACATTAAGTAAGATACTTTTACTTGGGGCCATGTTATCCTGATCAGTACTAACAAAGTCACATGTGGATTCTAATTCTACAATAGGTTGTATTGAGAAAGCATTGTTCATATTTGAATGTTGTGACAAAAGCATATTCATGCAAACATTTTGATTGTCAGTAGATGGCTGACAGATATTATTATCACTACCAGTTGTTGATGTGGCACTTAGGTTCTGGGTTTCTTGTGGTATCACCAATATACAATCAATTTCTTTTAATTGTTGAGTAGAACAGATGACAGAGTTTAGAAGCAATGTTGCTGAATCTGTAGCATCCGAGGACTCTAAATTTGTTACTTCTGTAGTGTTATATTTCTTCACATTATTTTCAAATACCAAAAGCTGTAGACCATCTTTCTTCTGACTATTAATTTCTCCATTTTCTCCTGATGTATCTTGAAATATGTTTGGATGGTCTTGATTTAAAGAGCTATTTTCCATCCCCCAGATGCTCTCATGGTCCATAATTATGTTAGGACATGGAACTGTTTCACCAGAAATTCTGTTTTTTGTATTGGTGTTTTCATAAGAATCAAGTGTGTCTGGGACTTGATCTGCTAAGGTTAAAGCCTCTTTTTTTGCATTTTTAAAATTCTGTATTTTTTCCCATAATTCTTTCTGTTTTCGTGCCATGAGCAAAAGGTTCTTTTGTCGGGCTGCAAGGTTTACTAGCTTTTCTCTCAGCACTCCCTGTTTAAAAGATTCCACAGAAGCTCTAAAATCAAATTTTAAAATGTTAATTGAATTAACCAAGAATACAAGCTATACTGCCATGAATAATTTACCTGTATATGGAAAGGAAGTAAACAATAATTTAAATGCAATAAAGTTTTAAAAAAATACTAAATGTTTTTATTTAGGTAATGATCACAGTAGCTAAAATCATCATCTAGATGCTTATCTAGCATAACTCTTTGATACTTTTTCTGGGAACAGGCTAGATTATATAAGTACAATATTTATTAAAGATGAATGATTTTATTTTTTATTTCATAGTTACAGATGTTTTTTTTTATAATAGGTACAATATAACACAACATTCAAAAATATAATTTTTCTCCCACTTACCTATATTTCTTAGCAAGCTCATCTCGTTCAGATTTCTGTCTGACAAGTATAGTATTCAAAGAGTCCTGTATCTCAGAAAAGTGTTGGATGTACAGATCTATTCAAAATTTATATGATTTTAAGAATGGATATGAATTTTTAATCATTTGCTGTAAATGCAGTATAATGCTCCAAACAAGAGAAACATGTTGCAAAAAACTCAATATTCTAAAGACCACAATGGTTGTAGCCCATTTTTATTTTATAATTTTTCTTACAACTTGATATTTATTTTCTACTTTGTATTCAATATTTAAAAATAAAAAAATAAATATATTAACAACAATTGTTCAAATTATACATATAATTTCTCTTTTACAAAAGAACTATAAACTGACTTCAGTGAGGTTTATTTCTGAATAAATATGCATGAGGTTGTGGTATTATTTATTAGAGTTATACAGCACTTTGGATTTAGTACAAAGAGGTACTGCGGAAAATAACAGGAGCACAAATATAGCACATAGCTACATAGCTCCTTAAAGCAACTACATCTTTGACCATGATACCCTGGATTTCAAAAGTATTTCTTAAACTCTGATGGAAGCTACCTCAGATCAAATGGACTTAAATTCTGGAGAAAAGTGCCCTACAAAGTTGGGAACTCCTACAAAATCAGCTGTTGAAGGTACTGTTACAAACAATTCCAACTAAGGGAAAAATGAGAGACATATGAATGATTAGTGTGGCTGCATACAGAATTTTCTAAAGTGTTGAAAATAAAAAAGGATATGTATAGGCAAGCAACAGAAGGATCAATAAAAAGTCTAACCATGCTATGCCACAAGAACAACACAGTGGCCAACAGATTGGAAGAGGTCAATCTATATTCCAATACCAAAAAAGGAGGATTAAAAGTGTGTGCAAACTAACATGCATTATTCTTAATTTCACATGCTAGAAAAATATTGCTTAATCAAATGGAGGTTAGAGCCCTACATGGAAAAAGAGATGCCAGATGTACAAGCTGGCTTTAGAAAAAGCAAAAGAACGAAATATACTATTGCTAATTCACAAGATAATTGAGAACGGCAAAGAATATTACAAAAAAGTCACTATGTGCCTCATTGATTATATAAAGCCGTTCAATTTTGCCGATCACACAAAGCAGTGAAAAGTGCACTGCATGGGAAACCAGTAACATCTCATTGCCTTCAGGAGAAACTCATATTTGATCAAGATGTCATATGACTGTTTTGTTCAATGACTGCAATCTCAACACTCCCTCTGTCATCAAGAACTCTGGTTCATTAAATGGAGTCCCAGATAAAGAGTATGGAGTGCCTCAAGGGGTTGGGGGAGGCCTGGGAAGGCCAAGCACATACAGCATCATGTACAAGTTGCCATCGTATGGGAACTCTCATCTGCCCACTCTACAGGGATGCTACAATTCCCCCACCTGCCTATCTTCCCCTCACCCCCTCTATGCCCTTTTAGTGACATTCATCCATGACAGTACTGGAACTGTAGACGCCTGGGGCCTTCAGCAGTCTCAAACAGCTGCCACAATTCCCAAGTTCTACTTCAGCTCCAACTCCAGCACTATCACTGCCACTATAAATGTCATCTCAAGCCCACACTGCTGCCTTTTGCTGTTCTCCAAGATGGCCTCTCATTCCTTCTACAAGCCATGTATCTCATATCTTCTCTAAGCCAGCCTTTCATCATTATGCATATTTTATTATTTGCCCTCCTATTCTTTTACCCACTGAGGAACAAAGGACAGCCATGTGTTAGGTTGAGAGTATAAAGTTGTATCTTTTGTCAAATGACAATCAGAAGCATGAATTATCATTTTAATGTCACTGTCAGCTGTTACAGATGACAGTGGCTATTGCTAAAAAAGAATTCATTTGAGAGTGCTTTGAGCATTAGATTGAGATGATGCTGCCCTTTATTTTGGATGGCACAACATTCTAGGGTGATCCTACAATTCATGTCTGAAGTATTCCTGATGAACAGTAGCAAAATTCTAAAACTAAAGGGGGTATTTGCCTGTCTTATATGGGTCAATGATTCAATTGCTCTATAACTTTGATCTGCTTTTAATGTCCATGCAGCATGTGCTAAGCAATCTTCTTCTTGTGTTCTTGGAAAGCTCAGAGGGAAAGCTTTCTAACAATATAGAAAAATAATAGGAACAAAACATAGCCTCCACCACCAACAAATAGCATATAACATAATCGGCCACATAGACAAATCCAGAGGATGCTGAATTTATCAAGTGGCATAGTTTCCAACAACTTTTCTCCCAAAACCTTGCCAATGTTCCCCATCATTAACATCATTTGTGACATCAGTCTCTATGTGAGGCCCAGCAGCTGTTTTGCTAAGGGAAAACTCTGATTTACTACAATGTAACTACTACAATCTATCATCAGTTTATGAAATCTTTCATAAATTAACTGTGATTCATCCCTACCTGCATCTCTTTGGTATTTTAATTCAAACAGCAACAATCTCTCCTGCTTATTTTCTATGTCCAGCAATGCTTTGTTGATTAATTCACGCTGTCAAAAGCAAGCCATTGTTAACTCTATTAAAGAAAGACAGTTTGCAACTGAATTAAAAAAATACAAACACACATATTTCTGATTTGTGTAGGTCAGTAGGTCAAGGGTCACAGTGCCAGGCTGTAGCAGCACACTGCCGGCTTGTGCTCTGTGGGTCTTTCCAGTTTACCTCATTATTGGCTCAGAATTGAATGAGATAATCTCACCTAGAGAAGATGGCAACTTGAGAGGGGTGTGAATAACTTCTATCCAATCAGAATACTGTTACTGTGCTACCTTTTATCTTCTTGTGTAATACTGTATAAAAATAAAGCTGTCTACAAAGTCGGGAGAGACATCTTGGAGACATCTTGAAACAGAGCAAAAGCCTGGACCTCTGATTTACAACAGATTTGAAGCCAAGCAAGTCTTTGGTTATCAAGGACGTTAATATAGCACCTGTCTGCAACTTTTTAAGGAATCCAAACAAAGTCAACATACAGAAATTCTGATTATAAGAGTACAATGAAGATGAAAATGTTAGGAGACAAATAGACACAAAACACCTAACCAGCAATCAACATCCAGATGAGCAGATGAGCAGAGATTAACACTAACATAGGGATATCAAACTCGCGGCCTGCAGGCTGGATACATCCATGCCCACCCGTTTTAGCGAAGGGGGAAAAAGTCACGATACATCATGTGATGACAACGTGACAACACGAGTTTGACACCTTTGCACTAACACAAGCACTGATGATGTTACTTAGTTTGGTAATGAAACATCTGCAACAAAACAACCAAGCTCAGGGAGTACCAAGGACTCCGCATCAGCATATTTTAATACACTCCCAATAGCTGTTCTGAAATGTAAACAAGCTCCTTATGAACCACAATTATGCCCTTTTGAAAAAGACACATTGACTAAAGATTAAAATATATAAAGAATGGTTGCTCGAATTGGGTATGTCTAGTTTAATGAAAAGAAGAACTAGGGGGTGACATGATAGTAGTGTTCCAATATCTCAGGGCTTGCCACAAAGAAGAGGGAGTCAAGCTGTTCTCCAAAGCACCTAAAGGCAGCGCAAGCAGCACAATGGGTGGAAACTAATCAAGGAGAGAAGCAACTTAGAACTAAGGAGAAATTTCCTGACAGTTAGAACAATTAATCAGTGGAACAACTTGCCTCCAGAAGGTGTGAATGTTCCAACACTGGAAATTTTAAAGACAAGATTGGATAACCATTTGTCTGAAATGGTATAGGGTTCCCTGCCTAAACAGGGGGTTGGACTAGAAGGTCCCTTCCAACTCTATGCTAAACTATACTGTCTTTCTATGAGGACATAAAGACTTCTTTCATAACTTCATTTGATGAAATTAGACAAACTAATTACTTTTATGTACAGCTACTCCCATCAAACCAGTTCCTTTAAAAATAGTAAAATATTGTTATACTGTTTGTAATATTTGACATCTTGATGCCCAGAGTAATTTAGTTATACCTTTATGTTTATATTTTATTTTACTTGCAACAGAAACTGTTTAATTACTTTGTTAATCTGCAGAATTCTGGTCAGTGACCATAATAAAGACTAAATTAAAGTACCAAACTTAATTTTTAACTTTGGATCTCATAGGGTTGTTGTTTTATCTGAAGACTGCTTAGATAAATACGTTCCTATTTCTGCCTCTATTACTGGGACTTAACAAGCTTCTTATAATTCCTCCTCTTCTTATAATGAGTTGCTTTGCAATAGTGGCTATCTTTAGCAGCTGTTTAAGGGACTGTGACTCTCTTGGGAAATAGCAACTCTATTCCTGCTGTCTTTTAATACTTGGGAGGCAAAAAACCCAAAAAATTTTGCTTTAGCAAAGGGAGGAGGATTTGTTCAAATTGAACACTATTTAAAATTATATTGTTATTGATTAACTAAATCTTGTAGTACTGTTAATCTTTGTGAGCTTCTTTTAGGAGAGGTGGGTTGAAAGATAGCTTAGAAATATAATATTACACAATCTTTGTGCTTAATTCAGGATCCACTGGTATAAACCAGGTAATGTGGTTCTACTGTACTGTACACTACTGAGCTCTTATACTTACTGTGGTATATTTTTGTCTGGCTAAACTGGACTGTAAAACCAGATCCTCCTTTTCCTGGCAACCATAACAAATAGATTTTCTCCTAAGCCTTGATCTGCGCAGCTCTTTTTTTCCTAAATTAAGAATCCATCACAATAACAAAAGACATAGAAATTATTTAACCAAAATCAATATATTTGGGCTTTTAGTCAATTCCAGATTTATATCACAAATTATTTTTCTAATGTGAGAATTCAAGAGAATTCTCTTCTCTTCTCTTATGGCTTATCTTGTGCCATAAACATATGAAACCATAAAGTGTGAAAGAAGATAAAACAGGATAAGCATCTGAACGTTTAGGAAAATTAGAGGTTCTTAATGCTAGAATATGTAAAGTACCTAGGAAAATATTCATCTTGTGAATATGTATAGGAAACTTAATAATTGGTCTTATCACTAAATATAACTTTCTGATAACTAAATGAACATATAGGCTATTTACCACATCATCTTCAATCGGCAAGCCATTCCTAACACACTATAGACTTAATCTGCTTGTCCTCTGATTAGTCCTCAATTAAATTAAAATGTTTATATATTGTAAACATTTTCAGGAGTTTATCACTGCAGGATTAATGAGCATTAAATGTAAACTAAGAAGTAAAGACATGGCAAATAAATAGTATTTTCAATTTTAAAAAAGTCAAGCACAAATAAATATACTGGAATGTACATTATATCTGATGGGGAGGCACAGCAGAACAAAATGTATCTTTTTTGCCCAATGTTGCATAGCAGCCTGCACTTTCTGCTGTTTGTAGTTCATTAGCACTGGTTTGCAACAGTGTGCAACAAGCTATTACAACAGCAGATAGTATGATAAGGCTTTTCCCTTTATTTTGAAGATATTCAATAAATGAAATTAAAATTAATTAAATAGTTACAATAAAGAAATTAATTACTGAACTCTGGAAAACAAATATTTTAAAAAATCATCTTTAAAATTCTGTAAAGAGCGCAACAATTTACAATTTGTATGACAATAACATACCAGCATCATGAGCCATCAAAACAGTCTCTTTAACTTCAGTAGCACCATAAGACTTAAGAAGCTCTTTAATTTGGTCACAAGTAGCTTCATCTAGGGCATTTTCCCCATTGTTGTTTCTTTCGTTGGGGTTTGCACCATGGAGCAACAGCAACTGTACTGCCTGCAATATATTTCTTAACAATTTCTTCTGTCAGCTAGTTGGCTGAGAAACTGCTAAGGTTATAAGTACATTACTACATTTACAGTACATTATCTTATACCACCCAAGATTTTGGCTATGTTCTCACTACCACAAATCAGCAAGAATACATTAGCCTAATACGTCTACCCAGTCCACATTTATTATTTAATATATACTGTGAACTTAAATAATTAGGTTAAGTAAACTACAACTAACCATTAATGTGTTATTGAAATAGCGAAGTCAACATTCAATCTTTAGGTTCATACTTTGTGCAAGGTGGTAGACTGTTTATTATCGTAAACCGGCCGCCTTGAAAGAGGCGGTGGTGAGGCCTCTCCTCAAGAAGCCATCCCTGGATCTGGCTGTTTTGGCTAACTATCGTCCAGTCTCCAACCTTCGCTTTATTGTGAAGGTTGAGAGTGTGGTGGCGCGACAGCTTCCCCAGTACCTGCATGAAGCTGTCTATTTGGATCCGCTCCAGTCCAGCTTCAGACCTGGGTACAGCACAGAAACGGCATTGGTCGCGTTGGTGGATGATCTCTGGAGGGCCCGGGATAGGGGTTATTCCTCTATCCTGGTCCTATTAGACCTCTCAGCGGCTTTTGATACCATCGACCATGGTATCATGTTGCACCGGCTGGAGGGACTGGGAGTGGGGGGCACTGTTTTGCGGTGGTTCTCCTCCTATCTCTCCGACCGGTCGCAATCCGTGTTGACAGGGGGGCAGCGGTCAACCCCAAGGCGCCTTGTTTGTGGGGTGCCACAAGGGTCGGTCCTCTCGCCCCTCCTGTTCAACATTTATGTGAAGCCGCTGGGTGAGATCATCCGTGGTTTTGGGGTGGAGTTCCATCAGTACGCTGATGATACTCAGCTGTACATTTCCACCCCAGACCATCCCAACGATGCCTTGGAAGTGATGTCCCAGTGCCTGGAGGCCGTGCGGGTCTGGATGGGGAGAAACAGGCTTCGACTCAGCCCTTCCAAGACCAAGTGGCTGTGGCTGCCAGCGTCCCGGTATAGCCAGTTGACGCCATCGCTGGTTATTGGGGGCGAATCATTGGCCCCCATGGAAAGGGCCCGCAACTTGGGTGTCCTCCTGGATGCACGGCTGTCTTTAGAAGGGCATATGACAGCCGTGGCCAGGGAGGGCTTTTTATCAAGTTCACCTGATACGCCAGTTGCGCCCCTTTCTGGACCGGGACTCTCTACGCACGGTCACTCAAGCACTCGTCACCTCTCGTCTGGACTACTGTAACGCTCTCTACATGGGGCTCCCCTTGGGGTGCACCCAGAGGCTCCAACTGGTGCAGAATGCGGCCACGCGGGGGATTATGGGAGTGACAGGGCGCTCCCATGTGACTCTTCTCCTGCGCGAGCTGCATTGGCTTCCGGTGGACTTCCGGGTGCGCTTCAAGGTGTTGGTGATCACCTTTAAAGCGCTCCATGGCTTAGGGCCGGGGTACTTACGGGACCGCCTTCTGCCACCAATAGCCTCCCACCGGCCAGTTCGCTCCCACAGAGAAGGCCTCTTCAGGGTGCCGTTGGCCAGACAATGCCAGCTGGCGACCCCCAGGAGGAGAGCCTTCTCTGTGGTGGCACCTACCCTTTGGAACAATCTACCCCCAGAGATACGAGTGATCTCCGACCTCCGGACTTTTCGTCGGGCCCTAAAAACTTATTTTTTTCAGTTAGCCGGTCTGTCTTGATTTTATGGTTGGTTTTAAAATTTGATACGGATTTTAAATTGATAAGTTTTAAATTATGGGCCAAATTTATTTAATTATTTTAAATCTATTTTTAACTGTAACTTTATGTATAAAGGTTTTTATTTTGGCTGTTCACCGCCCTGAGTCCGAAGAGAGAAGGGCGGTATAGAAGTTTGAATAATAAATAAATCATGTATTAAATAACTAAAAATTGGTTTACACAACACACCATATCTTACATTATGGTTCACAAATTACTGTGCTGGTTTCATACATTGTTTGAATTTTACTTTCATACAGTGAGAATCCAGGCAATGTACTTATACATGAATATTGTGAACTAAAATTTTTGTTTAATTAAAACAAATCAAATTATATGACAACACTGAGGAAATTGGGAAAGAATATTAATGGTAACAGTTGAATTGAATGATAGAAATAATAATGTAGTAGTAAATGATCCAAATCTCAAAATTAAGTTGAATTCTGTCTCGTAGTACCTTACTTTTTTGTTCTAACAAGTCTTACCAGAAAGCCAATTTTCCGAGGCATTAGAAATCAGGATCTTGTGTACTTGGTTATGAATCATTTATACATACCATCTGTTACAGATTTCCCCCCACTACTTTTGTTAAGTCAAAGTCCTTCTTAAAATGGAACAAAACTAGGGTCTGAAACCGAATAGCAAATCCTGCATTAAGTCAAAGTCTCGTTAGCACCATATTACCTCAAAATGGTTGCCTGAAACGGCATCATGAATGGGCAAAACACCATCCAAGCTTTTACTGTTTACATCAGCACCGGATTTTAGTAATTCTGCAATAATCTCAGTAAATCCCCTGTTAGAAGCTTCATGAATTGGGGTCCAACCTAGTAAAAACAAATTCAGGCATGACACTGAATTTATGCTTCAATCACATCTTTTTTTTCACACATATATGTAACCATGACATATATAATATTTTAAAAATTGTATCATATATTAGCCTGAACTCAAAGAACTGCATAACCTGTTCTGAGCTTATAGAATTTGTAGCAGGAAGAAAATTTGAAGGCAATTTGTGGTCTAGTCTTAAGAAAAAACAATATCATTCAAAGTAATTCTGTGAATATTAGGGACTTTGTGAATACTGTATGCATAGGGAAGTAGGTAGTTCAGTCCTCACTTACTGATCTCAGTTGGGATCAGCAACTCTACCACTAAGCAACATGGTGATTAAGTGAGACATGACTGCAACTTGTGATTTCAGTGCTGGGTTCTACATTGACTTTGCTTGTTGGAATCAGGTTGCGAAGCTCCCAAATGGTGAACATGTGACCATGAGGATGGCTTGACAGCCGTAAATTCAAAAATCAGTCATAAAGTCACTTTTTCAGGACATCTAAGGGAGGCATGGCAACCTGAAGACATTCACAAAAGCAAGCTCATGACTTCAGCAAAGACTTTTTAAAAAAGTGAGTAGACTGGTTATCTAGATAAGGAGAGGAATGGGGAGTGACCACATGGGCTCCAGATGGCTGTTCCTTATACGGAGACTGCAGGTTAGTGGTCTTCCGTGGGTTTCAGCACCAGGAGATGAAGTGATTAGTCAACTTGGTCACAAAGACAGAATCTTTTAAAAGACACTCAAGTCTCACTTTCTAATTCATTTCGGAAATTGCCTATTAACCATTTTACAACTGTTAGCTGTAAAGCTAAGTAAGATTTTCATCTAAGAAAGTTACAAACAGATTAATGATCCAGTTACATTTGGAATATTGACTTTTATTATAAGGTTTTGGAATTAACTGTAAAAAAATAAATAGCCTCTCATGGGAACCAGTTATTTTCATTATCTTGTTTCAAAAGATAAGTAACTTTGTGGTTTTAGAAATTGGATATTAGAGGACATATTTTCCTTTTAAGTAGAAGAAAAAAATACAAGCTAACTTTTTATGTAAAATTTTCATCAAATTTACAAAATGACATAAAATGTTATAACACTGGAAGTTTATATTTTTTTGAAGAATGCAGTCAAAAATTAGTTGTAGTGTTAGGAATGTCAGTAATGATGTTTATGCAGTAGTTGTACTTGTAGTATTAGTAGTGTCAGTAATTATGTCTATGATATATTATGTGCAAAAGATATCAATGAAGCAATGACAGATGTGGAGCAAATTTTATCTGATAAGATAGAGAAAATACCAAAAGTGGAACTATAAGATGTAGGCCTAGAGAATGATTTGGAAAAAGATGCTTTATTAGATATACAAAAGAAACTGAATGTTTTTTAAGTTTTTAAAATTATAAGTTTTAAAAATTAAAGGGGAATTGTAAATGTCAAACCAAGAGAATGGCCTGGAAAATGTTTTCTTATTCAATCTACAGAAATAGGTTTGTTAAAGTCTTGAAGAAGTCTGCATGATGGAATAAAGAAGAATTGGAAAGAAATCATACTCTACATCAATATTGGACTGAATTAAAGATTAACTGCTACAATAAAAGGAAAGAATAGAGGTAGTCCTCAATTTACAACAGTTCATTTAGTGACCTTTCAAAGTTACAACAGCACTGAAAAAGTGACTTATGACCATTTTTCACACTTATGACCGTTGCAGCATCCCTAGTTATGTGATTTACATTTGGATGCTTGACAACTGACTCACATTTATGATGGTTGCAGTGTCTTGGAGTCATGTGTGTCCCTTTTTCTACCTTCTAACAAAGTCAGTGGGGAAACCAGATTCACTTAATAGCCGTGTTATTAATTTAAGAATTGTAGTGATTCATTTAACAAATGTGGCAAGAAAAATCATGAAATGGGGCAAAACTCACTTAACATAAATTTTGGGCTCTATTGTGGTCGTAAATTGAAGATTTACCTGTATGAAGTTAGTTTATTTGATCAAGATTAAAATAAGACATTTGTTTGCAAAGTTCTAGTAATGCTTTATAGATGTTTTGCTGATAGTAGGATTGAAAAATTAATATTGTATGGATTTGCTTATAGATAAAGGATGAGATATGGGTTGAAGAGATATCTGTAATCTTACAGAGGATGAAGAGTTCCTGAATTTGTCTATACTCGTTGTAATGAAAGTTGGAAATCAATTTTGATAAATTTATTTTCTTTATCTTCTTCTTTTTTCTTGTTTTCCTTCTACTTTTTTATTGTTTCTTATCTGTCAGGCGCAAAGAACCAGACCCACACATATAGAATTCAAACTAGCTACTTTAGTGTTCTCTCCCTATAATAAAGGAATCACCCCAGCCTGGCAGCTTTCTCCTGGGAAAGACTAGATAAAGCTCTAAGGGATTCCAGAGGAGGTCAGAGCTAGCCCTCTTGTGTTTATGTACTGAGTCCAGGCTGATCCCTCGCTTGAGCCTTCCTTCCATCTGGGATGGTTGCTCTCCAACATTATCATTCTTTTTTCTTTTCTTTCTTTCTTTTTTAGTTTGCATTAAGAGCTATGGTGGCGCAGTGATTAGAATGCAGTATTACAGGCTAACTCTGCCCATAGTCAGGAGTTCTATCCTGAATGCTCAAGGTTGACTCAGCCTTCCATCCTTCTGAGATTGGTAAAATTTTGGGGGCAATATGCTGACATTTGTAAATCACTCAGAGTGCCGTAAAGCACTTTGGAGCAATATATAAGTCCAAGTGCTATTGCTATTAGTTCTTACTATTGTAATCAAAATCTATAATAAACATTACAGAACAAGAAAAGTTACTTTTCCAGTGCCATTGTAACTTTGAACAGTCACTAAACACGGAGTAATTAATCAAAGACTATCTTTTCATTCAAATATATTGATCAAATAAATATAACAACAGAGCTCCACATTAACTAATTAACTAATACTGTTAGACATCGTTTAACTAAGTAGATAGCAGCAAAGAAAAGCAGCTACAATTAGAAATAGGTTACATCATTTCTGGGCTACAGTATAATAGAAAAAGTTTAAACTGGTGTTAAAATACCAAACCTGCATTATCTTTTTGATTTACACATGCTCCAGATGCTATCAAAGATTTCACTAAAGAAAAATTTCCTTTTTTGCAAGCTAAATGCAAATGAGTTTCTCCTTTAGCATTTCTCTTGTTTATTGTAGTAGTTGTAGTACTTTTCAGATGACTAGTAATTGTTTTAGTCTTTTTCCTAGGTTGTGAAGAATCTAAAATAAAAGAAATATTAAATGGTTACCAGAAGCTATGCAAAGTATTTTCATAGATGTACTACATGAGAGGTCCCCAACAGGGGTGGGTTCTACTTACCTTTACTACCTTTACTACCAGTTCGCAATGGGATCATGCATGCGCCGAGTTTCTGCGCATGCACAGATTGCCTATGACAACATCCAGGGCGATGGGCGGAGCCTCCAGCCAGTTTTACTACCAGTTCGTGCGAACCGGTCCAAACTAGGGGCAACCCACCACTGGTCCCCAATCTTTTTGAACTGGTAGTCATGTTTAAAATATTGAGAGTTTATACAACTCTGAGAAATGGTGGTCATGGAGGAACCTTATCCATTCACAAAATGAATCTTTTTAACCTATCCACTAGAATATAAACCAATGAAGGCCTGCTATTTCCTTTGACCTCTAAGGATGCTGCTTTCCACCAATTTGTCATACTATTTTTTCAGTACATTTTGCATGCTCTGAAAAAAGAAAAGCTGACTAAGGAATGTGTGATAATATTCTTCACATGCTGAAATAACCACACATGGGAGATTAAGATCTCTTCTCTCATTCCAGAGTCCATAACATAAACAAATGGATTTCAGTTTCAAGAATCGAAGCATTTTCCAATTGAATATTAGAAGAAACATCGTATCAGTGAAACACTTTGTCAGTGGAACAGTGATTCAGAGTAGTGATGGGGTCCCCTTTATTGGATTTGTTCAACTGGAAACTATGCAGCCATCAATCTGGTATGCTTTAATTTATACACTTTACTAACAAATTAAAATGTGTGGAGAAAAGTCTTTCAGTTAACAAAATGGTGGGGGTAACATTATATTGAAAAGGCATCACATTTAAAAAGACTTCTTCTCTAGTAACCGTCTTTCACCTTTTACAGTATCTTTTAATACATCCTTATCTTTTACAGTAAGATAAGGATGTATCATGAAGACGATTCTAAAATGACCACAGGTCTGGACCAGGAGTGAAATGCTCCTGGTTTGGACCGGATCACCCGATCCGGTAACGATGGAGACGGGTGGTTCGGAGAATCGGTAGCAAAAATCCCTGCACACCCCCCCCCAATTGCCCAGCTGAGACACGCAATCATCAGTGGCTTTTTTTTATTTTTAAAAGCATTTTTTCTACAACCTCTTTGGCCGAAAAAATGCTTTTAAAAGTAAAAAAAAAAGCCTCTGATGATCACGCGGCTCAGCTTGGATCATCAGAGGCTTAAAAAAAAAAAAGAAAGCCTCTGCTGATCAGGCAAGTCAGCTGGGATTGTCAGAGGCTTTTTTACAACCTCTTCAGATGAGGTTGTACAACCTCTTCAGATGAGGTTGTAGAAAAAAATGCTTTTAAAAGTAAAAAGTAAAAAAAAAAAATTGGCCTTGCCCGTTCAGTCATATTACCACCACTACCACCAAGCCACACTCACAGAACCAGTAGTAACAAATTTTACATTTCACCACTGGTCTGGACAGGCATAAAACTGGTAAGTGTTGTTCCATCAATTATCAAAGTGATAAACCATGAAGACTTTTGTAAGTCAAAACTAGCACTTTCAATTGGGCTCAGAAATGAACTGGGAACCAGTCCAAGCAGGGCAGGAATGATGTAATATGATTAAATCAAGTCTTCACAATTCTTGATGCATTATTTTGCATCAGCTTTAGTTTCCAAAATGTTTTAGTGGCAACCTGATTTACAGTGCATTACAGTAATCCAGGTGGTAAGTAATTGAACATAGATTATTGCAGTCAAGTCTCCAAGAAAAACAGCTGGAGCCCAGCCTAAATTGGTAAAAGGTGCTCCATGTCACAGAAATCATCTGAATCTTTATTATAAATGACTGTTTCATGGCTAATCCTCAAGCTATGAATTTAATCCTCTGACAAAATACAATGTCCTCCAGAAAAGCTGACTCTGTTTTTGTGAACTGTGGATCATTAATAAATAGAGGTTCAAGCTAGATAAATTAATTAAGTTAAATTAATAATAGCCATGTTTTATTTAGCTTGAATGTCAGTTTGTCATCTCTCATGTATTTATTAACTGCTTACCTAGAATTTGCGGTATTTGTTGTTCTTCAATTTGACTGAATTGTATATAACTTGAAGAAACATTCTTCAACTTACTGCCAGAACCCAAATCGACATATTGACAATTTCCATTATACTTCGTCTGGACCGTTTTTAATGCAACTGATTGGAAAGGTACATCTGATGTATAATTTTCTTTTTCTTTTGCCATATTGTAACATATTTCCAGATTCTCTGTTTTCAATATTTATTAAATTACAAAATGAATTATTATGCTTTTCTCAAAAGAAGCAAACAATATCTATAGAACTACTATACGGTATATTATAATGAACATAATATATTTCTAAAACATTTAGAAATTCTGAGATTAGAGAATACTTTTCTAAAAAGTTATTAAATTTTCTGTTGCCTTCCCTTAAAAGAAATATTCAGTGCATTGTTGAAATTTAATAAAAACAAATTCTGGGATAATAATAACTTTATGGATTTAATTCTTATTTTATTGGAATCTTTTCTACAGTATTATCAATTCACAGAGGAAAAAAAACATAGCAAATATGTAAAGAGACAGCCAGTTTTGTGTGGTGGTTTAGGCATCAGGCTAGAAACCTGGAGACTGTGAACTTGTTTCTGTCTTGGGCACAAAGCCAACTGGGTGATCTTGGCCCAGTCATTCTTTCTATTGCAGAAAAGAGGCAATTGCAAAACACTTCTGAAATCTTACCAAGAAAACTGCAGGAACTTGTCCAAGGCAGTTGCTAGAAGACTGACTTGAAATATATACTGTATATATATATAAAGAATCGTGAATTTTACTGATGTTGGGGGTGGGGAATCAATGAACTAGCTGTGAATTTCACTTAGCATGATGATAACCAATTCTACGTACATGACTATACAAGGCCATGTTTGAAAATCAAGTGTACGTGTTCAGCATTCATCTCTAGCTAAATAAGGGACTGTGAATATGGAAGTTGCCATGTATATAGTTTTTTCCTCCCTAATCCATAAGAACCCTCAAATAGAACAAATTTTAAATAAGAAATAACTCTTCCTAGCTATTCAGCTATTCAGAGACAAGAATTGAGAAAAGGTAGAAACTGCATTTATTTCCTTTTCTTCTGCATTCTTAACCTTTTGACTAGGCAACTAGTGGAATGTCTTTTTCTGAAGAAGCCTCTTTCACTGAAATATAAGGTATCTATTTTAATGTATGTATTTACAGGTAGCCCTTGCCTAACGACTGGTTATTTAATGACCATTCCGTTACAATAACCCCCCTCCCCAAGCTCCCTATGGACTACTTGTATTTCAAATATATCCATGCTTCTCTTTATTTTAAAAAATCCATAGATCAGGGGTGGGCAGCTGTGGCCCTTTTACAACCTGTGGACTTCAACTCAAGAATCCAAGCTGTCTCAGGAATTCTGGGAGTTGAAGTCCACAGGTTGTAAAAGGGCCACAGTTCCCCACCCCTGCCATAGATGATTTACAGCAACCCCCCCCAAAACAGAAATGAACAAGTAACAAAACAGTAAATAAACAAAGCCACTTTGTATAGATTTGGAACACATACATGGTTCATGTGTGTGTGTTTATGTGTAGACAAATGGGGTACCTTGAAATTGTTCTTGTCTAGCATATGTAAAATCAGAAGAATATTATTCTTCATCTTACTATCATTTTCTGTTCTCTCAAAAACATTTTTCATCCTCTTGGACTTATCATTGTATTCTCATGTATAACAAGAGGGTGAAGTCTTACCATGACTTTTAATTGGAGCTGTGAATGTCAGGGCTTTCAGAAATTTCACCTCTATTAATATCCTGAGAAAATGTACCAGTTGAAGATATTTCCATGCTAATTTGAGCTGTTTGTTCATGACAAATTCCAACAGCTTTTGAGGTATTTTTATCTGGGTTTTGGGCTGCATTTAAAGTATATCGTTCTAAAAGAATTGTACAATCTGAATCTCCCACATGTGCAATTCCTTGTACCAATAGCATGGTTGTGCTTTTTGAGTGTAGTAAATTTTATTTTAAATGAAAACAATTTTTTTCAGTTGTAAACATTCTTTCAGAGCCTGCTCGTTGTCTATGTCTTTATGGCAGTATACAGTCATATCTATACAAGCTAAAGAATGCATGTATTTTTCTGGTAATCTATTTTTTCGTTAGTAGACTTTTTACTTCTCCATCTCTCCAAGCAAGACAACCTTTTATCCCATCTAAATATTGTCATTTATAATAGCAGCTTTAAGACAGCCATTATGGTGTTTCATATCACATGGTTCCTCTCTGCTATAACAAACATAACATATTTGCACCAAATATGCAAATTAGGCTAATTTATTAATCAATTACAAAAGATATAGCTTGTAACAAGGTTTAATGACGTATGTGAATCAATATATTGATTTCTATTTTTTTAACTGAAGGTTTTGATGACCTTTTTTTTCTGATGAGGCAGAGTCCATTGGAGTTAAGTGGCCAATTATTAAATAAATAGTAATTATTATTATTACTGATAATAAAGTATCTTTCTAATTTTCATTAGCTATGTTCTTTGATCATTTTACAAATTCACTCTGAAGTATATGGAAAATATTCCAAACTATTGCTTTAGAGAAAGAAAATATATTTACATGAATGTTAAATGGACTTTTTCCCGTCCCTTTAGTCATTTATACTTGTTTTGTCACCCAAAGGAAAAAAATGGTCTTTCACTACCAGAAACTTAACATCTTTCTTTTAATATTGCAACAACATACTGTGGGGGTGGGAGATGGGGGTGATTTTGTTATATTGTACTATATTAATTTATTTGATTCTTTTTGTTAGTTTTTATTGTTTTAATTGTGGTTTTATATTCTGTAAGCCGCCTTGAGTCGACATGGGTGAATAGGCGGCAATATAAATTCAATAAATAAACAAGCAAACAAACAAGGGCAGGGAAAAATATGCACAATGCTGCTGATCAGCAATAGCTACAATTGTAGCAAACAAGATGTAATGCTGTAAAGGACTCTGGTCAGAGTCTAAGACAACACGCTCCAGCCATCATGCCACGGCCATCTCACCACAGCCAACTCGCTGCAGCATTCTACATGGGATAACTCAATGCAATAAATATTATCCGCCACTATTTCTTTGATATTATTTCCATTTACAATGGAAATAATGGGAGTAGCCATAGTAATAACTATGCTGGCAAGCACATGAAGCAGGGCTGGTTAAGCTCACAATCCCAGGGCCAAGCCAGCATTTCTCCAGGAGGATGTCAGATCACACTAGGAGTAGTAGCCCAACAGTCCCCCTCCTCCCTACCCATTGGTCACTCTTGCCATTTTGTATCTGCTGAACAGTATAAGGGGCCGTGCCTGCACTAGGATATAGTGCTGCTCATGCGTTACTCAGCTGAGGGCTTCTAGTGAAGCCTTCTAGCAATCAAAGGGTAAGGCAACAGTGAGAGGCAGGGTTAACAGAGCCCCCCAATGTGCAGCTTGAGGCTCCCCAATGTGCAGCTTGAGGCCAGCTGCTATCAGAGAGCCCTGTAGAGAAGAAGTTAGCTGATGAGGGTAGTGGCAGAATTCAGCAGCCTCATCTCAGCCATACTGTGCAAGGGTGGCCAAAAGGGGGGGCATGGGGGGGATTTAAGTAGAGATAGTTTGTGCAGAATGGGAGAACGTGACCACAGGATGCTATGACAGTCATAAATACAGGTTGGCTGGCAAGTGCCTGAATTTTGATACTTGACAGCAGGGACACCATAACAGCTATTACACGTAAGAACCTGTTGTAAGTTTTTTTAAAAAAATATTTTTATTAAGGTTTAAAAATACAAACAAAAATTATTACAAAGAAAAATATGAAAATAAAAAGTGCAGAGAGAAAAAGACAGGACGGAAAAATATAAAGGAAAAAAATCTGCAGGGAGCCTTCGGAGCTGTGTATTGAAGCAGCTGGTAAGCCATTCAGGTGGAGGATGGTTGAAAAAGCAGCTGTTTTGGAATTTATTTTTCAAACTGACAATAAGTCATGCCTTTAATTTCTTAATCATTTTATGGGATTATTATCTTTACTAGCTAACAGTGCTTCTTTCTAGTCACAGTCGAATGGAGTCGTGAGTGCATGCGTGACACTTGCAGTGATGGAAGCAGCCGTGCAGTACTCGCTTTGATAGCGGTGCTTGTGGCAACAGTAGCGGCTACACGGTGACGGTAGCACCAGTGGGAGATGCACACATGCACACATGTACGCACTGGCCAGTAACTCACACGGCCCGGTGGCCCACAGGTTGGGGACCCCTGATGTAAGGAACTTAACTATATGTTTGGAATACAAATCTGACACCAATCTTTATTATGATGATGGTTTAAATACAATCCTCTCAGTGCAACTGAAACAAGAGCTCCAAGCAAATCTACAATTCTCAAGACAAGTTTGGGACTTTTTTTTCATGGATATTAACAAGGTTGAGAATTCTTTGAGAAAAATAGATTTGATATGCATTACAGAGATTTTATTCTATGAGGATAAGCTGAAGGGAATGACTTAAATTTAATGAGTTAATTGGAGTTAGGATGGATTTTTACACATCTGATATACATTATGTAATTGAAAGGAAGCTCTTGTGCTTATAAATGGGTGTGAAAATGTTTATATGCACATATATGTACACAATGCTTGAGTCATTCTTACAGTTTGTAAAATATTATTGAATTATGTTCAATTGATTTTAGAAATATTTTAAAGAAAAGTCTGAAAATGGATGTTTAAAAAAGGGTTGTCCCCTTTAAGGTATTAAATTTTGTTAATATAAATGATGACAGTATATAAAGATTAATAAGTACAAACATAAATATATATTATTTCCCACAAAAAGAAAAGAAGTAGGGATGGTTAAATTGATTGTTTTATTTTAAAAAAAGAACATATCTAATTTTGTTTCTATTTGAAAATCACTTTAGAACAAATCCATACTTGCATTTATTTTTCAAATGTTTTTTTTGCAATTGTGTATTACAAGTTAATGTCATACTAGATCTTTCCTACCTGATTTTGATCTTTTACCAGAATGATCTATATAACTTTCCACAAGTTTCCTCATATGCTTGTCAGTAGCTTCTTCTAAAGCATTTTTTCCTCTTTCATTCTTGAAGAGTGGGTCAGCTCCATACCAAAGCAATAATTCTGCCACCTAGAGGTAAATACAAACATTATAGTGTTTTCAATACTTTTCCTTTCTACTTTTCATGATACAGATTGTCACTCTTAAGACTCAATTTAAAACTTTATGACAACTGAGCAGAGAAAAGCAAAAGCTTTTTTGTGTATTCTAATTTTCTACTTGTAAAGTAAGCAAGAATGATTCTACATAAACTGTTATATTACATTTTGACTAGCTAATCTGGAATAAGAGCACTGAGCTGAGCTGATATTGCACTGTTTTGTTCATTGTTCGAAAATTTTCTATGATATAATACATACCATTGCTAGCCTCTGAATTCAGCATTATTACTATACATTTAAAAGGAAAGAGAAGGTTTCTGGCTAGGCTCCTAAAACGGTGAGAATAATTAATTATGTTTAGAACAAAATAACTTTATAAATCAACGAGTCAGATGATTAATGAGAAAACTGTTCAGAATGTTCATTTAGGGAATATGTATCTACATACATATTTTAATTAATTGTCAATTAATGGAAGTAGATTAAAGCAAAATTTGCTAAGTATTTGGAGGGGGGAAAAAGCCATGTTCAGGAATACAACTTTAGAAATGTTACAGTGCCCCCTGCTGAATAGTCACTCTAATATAGGAAAGTAGTACCGTTCACAATTGCATTGCAATAGAACTTGTAACAAGTCTTGGAGCAGAGGTATGTACTGCACAAGAGAACTTAGGCTTCCTGCATTAACATGGAGCTTCAGGCTGGTTGAATTATTTCCGTATTATTCCCATCAATGGTACAAAGAATAATTCAAAACTGAAGAAAATGAAGCTTCTTTACAGTATTAGGCAGTCATAACTAATCTGGATAGTATGGCATAACAACATATTTTAGAGACCCTATCTAGCTGATAGTTCAAGACATGATCTCTTCTTCAGTTAGGATACCGCAATCGCAGACAGAAGATACATGGCATTCCCTTTCTTCACTTTACAACACAACCTCTAATCTCAATGAAAAAAGATCAACAAGACATCTATTACTTGGACCGAAACGCAGTCCATTTCCAAAATATAATGCAGCAGCCACAGAGACATCACAGTGTGCTACACTCCCACTTAATGCAATAGGGAAGCTCAGAAAATGCTGTATTTTTAAGTTTCTGCAAATTAGAAGCTGAATCTTATGGCAGAGAGAAATATATGTTTACTAGGAATTATATAAACTCAATTTATCTGGAAAACACTACATTTGGGATGTTAGTTCTTAATTACTGTAAGCATAAGGAAACATGCAGTGTGACGTGCTGAAGCATCATGTAAAATATTTTGTAGAATACTTTCAGGGATAGAAATTATACCTTGTGATGACCTTCTTTAACAGCATCATGTAGTGGTGTTACTTGCTCATATCCTTTACAATTAACATCAGCTCCTGCTTTTAAAAGTTCATTTGATATTTCAAAGCAACCGGCCAAACTGGACTCATGTAACGGGGTCCAACCTATAGAAGTGAAAAATATATTATTTTTTCCAAGAGGACCAAAGTCATTATTATATAATTATTTTATACTGACTTAATTTCCATTCCAGTACAATTTAGATACTTAAATATTCCCATCAATTTCAAAAAAAAAATGTCTGTTTAACATTAGATTCATTTAAGTGTTGTTATGAAGTCCAAGTTTTACTTAGCCACTCAACTTGTTCATTCATTTTGAAACAAAGCAAGATACTCCCATTTATTCCAAAATATGTCAGAATGTATAATTACAGGGAGAACAATCTGCTTGTCTGCCTGTCTGTCTGTTTGCCTACCTATATTCTGTTTTTACTTATAGTAACTTTTAAAGTCTTGCAGGAAAGTTTAAATCTACAGAAACTATTATTCCAGTTTGAAGCTGAACACCAGAGTTTCACTGAACAAAATGATGCCTGGTGTTTATGAACATTCAATTAAATAAGATTGATTCTGTAATTTTTATAAAACTAAATTTATGTTGGATATTGTACTTACCTGCATAGTCCTGGGCATTAACATTTGCACCAGCTTTTATCATTGCACATACACCATCTAGGTCATCTTCTGTAGCAGCTCTATGCAACAATGTCTGACCAAAACCATCTCTTCTGTTGATTACAGACAGTGAAATGTAATTACCTGAGGAATCATTGGAGTAACAATTAAAAATGGTCTGCTTTCCTGAGAAATAAAATAAAAATGGAACAAATGAAAAAAAATTAATGGCATTAAATGGCATGAATCATAAGGTGTGTTTTTGTTTTAGAAATGTGTAAAGCTGTAACAGTTCTCCTGCTTCTAATTTGTTATGCAAACTGTAACAAGAAATGTAATTGACATTTTATATTTGCATAGGACATGGTTAAGCAGCACAACTCATGTCTCTCAGTAGACTGTTGTAGTTCCAAACAAAGTTTTTATTATGCAATCATCTTGCCTTCTTAATACATTTTAAAGGAGAAACAAACAAAATGGTTTTCTATTTGGACACCTACCATATTTTTCATTATTTTATATTTTGTGTCCAAAACGTCTTATGGAAGAACTCTGCTAGATAACACCAAGAGTTACTGACTTTCCATCAGTAAGGAATTAAAACTACTTGCTTACTTGCACATTGAGAAATTGTCACAGAGTAGGTATTAATATATAAAATTATATAGTAATATATAAAATTAAAAGGACATATACTAAATAAAGCATCAACTGATGTTATTCATATATCTGATAATATGCTAAGTGAAGCCTACAAGAGAACAGAGGAATATGGTGGCTGGGATTAAAAAACTTTTGTTAATGCTGTGTTTTTAACTCCCCAAATCAATGAGCTGCAAACAGAGCTAATTCTGAAGTGGAATGTGACAAGTCGCCGCAGCCAACCTGCCACGGCCAACTCACCACAGTCAATTTGCCACAGCCAACTTGCCACGGGATAACTCATCACAGCCAACTCACTGCGGGACAATTTAACAATTCAATTTAATTATTTAAAATAAATAAAAAATATCTTAATTTTCGTTAGTCATATTTCATTCTGTCCCTCCTTTAGCATTCTTTCTTTAATGATTCTATTCCACCATTTCTTTGATATTAGTGTAACTCTTGTCCCCCAGTGAGTTGTCTCACAGCAAATTGGCCGTGACACATTGTCATCGATTCTGGGAGTGTGGCCCCCTATAGACATACTGCAATTGTGAACTGAGAACCATACATCTCACTCCAACACTGGTAAACGTTTTATCTAATCATATAACTTTTTGTATTTTTGGGACTATAAGACGCACCTTAATTTTTTGGGAGGAAAACAAGAAAAAAAGAATTCTGCCTCTGTCAACCAGCATCAGGATCAGCGGTGCCCTCACTTCCACTCGGATTTTGATAACGAGCAGCACAGATCTTTTTATCCATTTAAAACAAACCCTATCACTCTACACGCATTTAACTGGAGTGGGTGGGGTGGGGAGGGGAATGATTTTCATGGGGGAAGAAGAGGGACTTGGCACCGAAGGCTCCAATCTCAAGACACACACACCCCGTCTTCCTACCTATAGCCTGGCTTTCTCGCAGCAAGGCCCAATAGAGATGCAGCACTTCAGTCCTCCTGGACACTGCCATCTCGTAAACAGGGTGCCAGGCTTCCAAGAAAGCCCCCTGCGCCTTTGCTGCCTCGGTCAGAACCTGATTCCGGAAGTGGCCCGGAGAAGCACGGAGGTCGGGACTTGGTTGGCGAAGCAGGTGCTGTGCTCTGCTACCTGGAGATCTCCGCTGCCTCCATGATTCTAAAAATGGGACGTGCGGAGGCAAAAAAAGACCATCACGTTTTCAGGTGGTTCCAGGCGGCAGAGATCATGGCAACAGTGTTTTCGGGTGGCAGCACCTTGCCCTACACCTCCTGCACAGCCCCCGAAAACACTGTTGCCCAATTGAATCCCGACCTCCATGCTTCCCCGGGCCGCTTCTGGAATCAGGGTCTTGCTGCAAGAAAGCCAGGCTTTCAACATCTACGGCTATAGATAGGAAGACAGGGGCGTCTCGAAAGTGGAGCCTTCAGTGCCAAGTCCCTCTTCTCCCCCACCTCCTCCAGTTTGTTGTAAATGGACAAAAAGATCTCTGCTGCTCGTTATCAAAATCCGAGTGGAAGTGTGGATCCCCGCCTGGCACCACCGGAAAATGCAACGCGCAGGGGCTGACAACCTCTGGCGGGTGGGAGCAGCGGGTGGGAGGGGTTACATTTGGTGTATAAGACGCACCCAGATTTTCATCCACTTTTCATCCACTTTTTACTCCGAAAAATACGGTATCTGGACTGGTCTTGTGTGTCTTTGGCTAAATATGGATTAAATGCAGATTATGAGAATTTACCATTAAGATTTGATGAGAAAGGATTAGATAAAAAGTTTGCCAGTGTAGGAATGTGATGTATGATTCTCAGATCACAACTACCATACAGTATGTCTATAGCGGGCCACACTCCCACTACTAAACTTTTTATCTAATCATACAAATTATCTAGACCAGTCTTGTGTGTCCTTGGATAAATAAGGATTAAGTGCAGATGGTGAGAATATACCATTCAGATTTGATGGAAGATGACATATCAAAACACCCTATAATCTGAAAGCATTTATGCTGATTGCTTTTCAAACTCACTTTGGAAAAATAAATCTTCCTTTGTCTTAATGAAATTCTACTTTTAATTTAAACCATTTCCTCCAAAACAATGCAAACTTTAAAAAAATATTCACATTTTAATACAAAGTTGTACATTGTAATATGAACTCATATACTTTGCCACAGTAACGTATTAAAAAAAAGTGAATTGCCTTCTAGCTATAAACAGACCATCAAAAACAATACTTACTGGTTTTCTTGGCAATCCTCTGGCTCTTCCTCACTTGCTCAATTTTGGTATTTACATCTGAAGATGAGCAATGGTATGTGCAAATTCCCAGTTGCAAAGATTCATTTTCTTTATCATTAAATCTGCCGACAAATAAATGGTTTGAAATTACAAAACATATTTTGAAAGCGCCTCAAAACTTTTTCTTGCAATTAACTAAAATGGTAATTCCTCTAGAAATTATTTAGAATTACCAAGGTTTAAACTTGTCTAAATTTTAAACTGGAATTGTACATTTTAAGTAAGCTAAACTGGATATATAAAAATAAAATTGCCTTCTCCAAAGTAAAAATACTTAATAATATTTCATTCAAGTATTTAACCAATTATTATACCTGTGCATCTTCTGATGCGTTCCTTCTAAAAATGGTTGGCACTCAGAAGTAGCATGTATATCATTTATAACAACACTCTTTCTTTGGTGGTCTGATTTCTTTAATGTATATGAAGTTCCTTCAGAGAGATGCTCACATGAATGAATGTCTTTTAAACTGGATTTTCCTTTTTTAGATGGTCTGTCAGAACAATCAGTTTTTTGAGGATCTGGATGACACAATCGATGCATACATTGTTCATAATCAATCTATGAAAAATCAATTGAAAAATGTTTCAAAAATTCGTAAGAATTTAAAATATTGACAGTTCCAATAATATTTTTTTTTCTATAGCTTTAAAAATAAAGGATTTTTAAAAAATAAACCTGGTAAATTGGTAAGGAAAACAACTTTACAAATACAGCTAGTTGAATAGCTATCTTTTTTGCAGTTATTAAAAAGATTCTCAGTCTTAGGAACATAGATTATGATATGACATTAGCCGATTCTGAAAGTTTACAAAACAAATTTCTTCTAGAAATCCATTCATGCATTTAAATTCATTTAACTACAGTTTGCAAAAACTGACGCAAGCAAATTTGTTATCACAGTGCTATTTGTGAAATGTCTTAATGTTCTTTCATTCTGACTATATTATTAATAGGAAAATGTAGCTATTTGGACTCACAAATGAAAAGAATGTAGACACATTCACTGTTTCTGTCAGTGCCATCCTAAAGAAGCTGCATATCCCAGGTCAGATTTCAATAACTACATATCCCTAGATGCCAAAAATGTATTCCAGCAAAATGACATGTCAATTTTCTTGACCCATTTAAGGAAAGTAACATAATCAACTGGTTTGTCCAGTTTTTAAAACAATTTTACCGACCATAACTTTGCCTAGAAACATGTACAAAACCAGTTATTAACTTCACATTTGTAAGTTATGTCAGTAACAATATTTAGGGGACCCTTTGCGGTTACCATTCTTCCTCATTCTCTAGACAAAAACCAAGCTGGAGGAAATCTCCATTAAAGTTATGTTGCAAGTAGTAGTTCAGCAAAGTAATTCTTAACCTTTTATGTTTTAAGCCTCACCATTACTCAATTGAAGAACCTGGGCCCCAGCCATTATAGAATACGAATTTTTGTAAGACATACAATACTGCTATTATATTAATCATTCACACTAAAGTTTAAAGATTTAACTAAAATTTCTACAATCATCTCAACTACATCCGAGTTTGAGTAGTTATGGTACATATGCTGCAGATTTGAAAACTAATGTTTCAGCAGATGGTCAAACAGGATATTTTTCTTCATTGGAAGCAAAAATATGGTAGAAAAAATAAGCAGAACAAAGCTTTTAGAATTCTTTCTAACCTTTTTACCAAGTCATAAGAGGCATCTATATTTTTTCTGCATAACAAAGTTAACATGTTGCAACTGTTTGCACGTGTCTGTTCTCCCCTCATTTGCACCTTTTTGTGTTTATGCTTATGTGCCCTGAGCAGCATTGGGTAGGCTACATAGTCTTTGCTCTAGATCACATCTCCAAGATGGAGCAAGCTCTAGAAGACAATAGTCAATAATATTCAGAAGCACTGATAAATTGTCTCTCCCTTAGGGAAGCACCGGGGATTTATTTCTCTGAAATTTTCCCCACAGCAACCAGCCAGACCTACTCAAATAATTTCATACCCTGAAAATCAGATCTGGCTATGTAAATTCTCAGATCCACAAATTATGCTTCCTTTCTTTCAAAAACCCATTATTTGTCTCTGAAGTTCTGCTTGTATTAGTACAATTGTACTTCAATGAAGTGATTAAAATCAAATTTCTGATTATAAAGTGAGCTCGTCGTAAAAAATTCTTCTATGATCATTGAGATCATTTAGAAAATAAAATATTCTTTTCATAAACACTGAACACATACATGCATTAAAAGATTATTTTACTTCAATTTATTTATTTAAGACTTGAACTGTCTGCTATGAATACTTTACATGTTCTGAATGCCTCAGCAACTGGGAGCACTCAACAAATCCTTTTTGGCATAGGAGCTACATTAGATTGATAATAAATAATACTTTTACTGCATTAGACAGGAGTCCACCAGAGAATATTTGGACCTAGCACCAGATTGGAGAGACAAAATTAATATCTGAAGATTTTATAGAGTTGCCAGGTGTCCACTATTTGAGCGGACAGTCTGCTTTTTTCACATTATGTTCACTATTTTTTTTCACAAAATAGTGGACATTTTTTTTATTCAAAAGCTTTATGATGAAATGGTACGTAATCTAAAGCTGTACAGTCTAAGAGAATAAGGATAGGAGAATCGCATTTTGTCTTTTTTTTCATAAGTTAGAATGAGACAAAGATCAAATATCCATTGAACTCGATTTTCCGAAAAAATTAATGATGAGATTAAAATAAAAATATATTATAAAATTATGTACAGTTCACATTTTTAAAATGCATTGTAGCTTGTGTCGACTGACCTAAAATGACGTCGAGTGATGAGAGTGACAGCAGCGAGATTTCGAATTCTTTAAAACGAAAGAGAGGAGTGTGCAAATACACCAAAGACTGGGAAGCTACTTTTGCATGGATTACCAACAACGAAACCGACAGAACAAATACGACGGCCTACTGTAAATTGTGTCAGAAATCGTTCACAATTGAATATAATGGTATAAAAGCTGTCACACAGCATGCAAGCACAAAAAATCATTTAGATAAGGAGAAAATAGCTTCCAGCAACAAGCGAATCAATTCGTTTTTCATTGTTAAAGACTCCTCTTTCAGTGAGAAAGTGACTGTAGCTGAAATGGCTGAAACTTACCATGGGATCAAACACCATATTTCTTTCCTAGCTCAAGATTGCGGTATTAAGTTAATGAAGCAAATTTTTGATGATTCAGAAATTGTAAAAAAGATGTCTTGTGGAAGAACCAAATCATCAGCTATTGTCAATGAGGTTTTGTATCCTTTTTCTATTGAATTGGTTCTCAATGATCTTAAAACTGGAATTCCATTTTCTCTCTCCACTGACGCATCAAACAAGGGAAATCGCAAAATGTATCCTGTTGTTGCACAATATTTTACTTGTGAAGAAGGACTGTGTGTGAAAGTTTTAGACTTTTATGAGGATTCTTTCGAAGATTCTACATCAATAAAAAAATCAGTTGTGTCGAGTTCTTAGTGATAACAAATTGGAAATAAATAATGTTTCAGCTTACTCAGCAGATAATGCATCGGTCAATTATGGAGTGAACAAATCTGTTTGCCAAAAATTATTGCTGGAAAATGACAATATTGTAGCTGCTCATTGCAATAATCATATTTTACACAACAGCGCAAAAAAATACATTAAAGCAGTTATCTTTTGATATCGAAAATGTAATGCTGAAGGTTTTTGCTGAATTTTCGAATTCTGCGAAGAAATGAGAAGAGTTGAAATCATTTTTTGAGTTTTGCAAAGAATTCAGAATTCCATGAAGTTTTGCGCTATGTTCCAACATGTTGGTTAAGTTTGTTTAAAGCGGTCGAAAGACTTCTTTTAAACTGGATACCTCTAAAATCGTATTTTATTTCTCTTGGATCTGATGAGTGCCATAAGGTTATCTGGAACCTTATTTCGGATCAGGAAAATGAACTCGCAAAGGACGATGAACCAACAATTTCAGAATTGTATTTATATTTCACGCACTTCTTCATGTCAATAATGCAAGACACCCTACTGAAGCTGGGAAGCAAGAAAATTCTTGCATGTGATCTTCATATTATTATGTGTAACCTGCGTGATTCTTTGCAAAAAAAATACGATGAGCAGTTTTTTGGAATGAAAGTTTTATTTGCCTTACGTAAAAAACATTTGCCTGAGAATGCCGTGCAAAAGTTCAAGAAAGAAGCCATCAACGTGTATCAAAGAGCCATTGCGTACCTAGAAAAGTGGTATAATTTCACCGATTCAGTATATGAGACGCTAAATTGTTTCAATCTAATTTATCGCAATAATCCTCCAACTTTAGAAGAAATGACGAACATCTGGTTATTATCACCATGGCGAGAAGAACTTCCACCCAACACTCTCTTCGATGAAATTTCTGCCTTAGAAGAAGTTTATGTTCATCTGCAGGGCGATTCATCCCTTGATTAAGTGGACGTACTTTTTCAAGAAAGCTCCAAGTTTACTGAAACTGTTCCAGTATTGTGCATCAATTCCGGTATCAAATGCAAACATTGAACGAATTTTCAGTGTCATGGGAAATTTGTGGACTGACGAACGTAACCGACTGCTTGTACCATCAGTTCGAAGTGAACTTTGTATATTTTTTAATATTTCTCAATGTTGTACTGAAATTAAAGAATTATTCCTTAAACACAAAGAATTGATCAAAGCTGTGCAGTCAAATAAAAAATACACACAACAGCAAAGTAAAATGTAATTTAATATTTTACATATTATTATAATATATTTGATGTTTTGAATTTTAAGTAAAGTTTTGAAGTGATTATTTTAATACGTGTTAAAATGTTTGTAAGAAAATATATAATTTAACTGTAATTTTTTTTAATTTTTTTACTACTTAACACCCCCCCCCGTCCGCTATTTTTTGGAAGCAGACCTGACAACCCTACTGAAGAAAGCCAGTAATTATTTTTGTACTGTTTTCCAGAAAAATGCAGAGATTTGTTCATTAAATCACAAGGAATTGAACTCAAAGGAGCCTGCATCATTATGTATTTTCAAGGACAGTCTTTCTTTATATGATATTCTTTACCCAGACATGTCAGGAATTGAATCTGAGAAATTATGCAAAACAAGTTTGCAATTTCAAGATTTGGCCATTTTTTTGCATTTTCTGTAGTACTTGAAAATATTTTTTTTAAAGATATCTTAGCCATGACATTATACTGTACATAATAGCAATGAGGGTTTCCTCTTCTCCATTAAATTTCCTGCTGACAGATGAAGGAAAAAGTTGTTAAACCAGACTTACCCCTATGTTCCTGTTATAAACATAAAGTTTGGGCATGCTTTGTTTTGTTTTAAGAATATATAACTTATTATCAGTTTCTCAACATGGAACAATGTTAGACTTATAAAGAAAGCCTCTTCAATTCCAACTATATTCTACTTTGGAAAACAAAGAGATATATAGTATAATTCACTATACAGATAATCCTTGATTTACAACAGTTCATTTAGTGACTGTTCAAAGTTACAACAGCACCGAAAAAAGTGACTTAAGACCATTTTTCACACTTACAACCACTGCAGCATCCTCTTGGTCACATGTTCAAAATTCTGATGGTTGGCAACTGGTTCATATTTATGACGGTTGCTGTGTCCTGAGGTCATGTGTCCTGAGCTTTTGTGACCCCTTCTGACAAGCAAAGTCAATGGGGAATCCAGATTCACTTTACATCCATGTTACTAACTTAACAAATGCAATGATTCACTTAACAACTGTGGCAAGAAAAGCCATAAAATGGGACAAATATTAGTAACATAATATTTTGTAGTTTTGTTAACTTAGTAACATAAATTTTGGGCTTAATTGTGGTCATAACTCGAGGACCACCTATACCATTATGCTACTTTAGAAATCTATTCACAAGACTTTAGATCAAAGCTTTTGTGGAAAATATAATGATACAATACATCAATTAATATAATGGAAAAGTCTTTAAAACATTTTTTATTTCAAACTTAATTTGTGTATGCATAAGCAGATTTTAAAAACATGACTTTACCAAATTTTAAATATGTGGTCCTCAGGTTATTATGGCATTTTTGTTTGGGATTGCCATTGCTAAGTGATGCATTTGTAAATGGTGGCATCATATGAATGCATTCCTCAGTGACTGCAATCCTGACAGGTGTTGTATGAATGCATGAATGCATTCCTCAGTGACTGCAATCTTGACAGATGTTGTAATCTCAGAATGGTGCAAGTCATAAAGTGGGAAGAGGCAAAACTCGCAGGTAAGGAGGATGGTGTGTGTGTGTGTAGGTGTTGTGGGGGAAGCTGCAGGCAGTTGTTATAGAGCAAAGACAGATAGGGAGGTATGGGTGGGCGCACAGAATGGAATGCAGACAGACAGGGGTGATATGGAATAAGAGCCCTGGGATTTCATACTGTATAGTGAAGCTCTTCAGGAGAAAAAGAAACAGGAGCGACTTACGGGGATAACTTGCAATTTTTCCAAGTATGTGGCCAAATTAATAAAGGAACCAGGGCATATAGAATAACTTTAGCACATTTAATTTAAATGAATGACTCTAACAGATTAGTTTAACATATTGCTTATGCGTTTCCCTTCTCTGTCCCTTCTCAACCCTTTATGAGTTTATGAGAGAAGATGGAGACTAAATTCCCAACCCCCAAGAGACATTTTGGCACAACCCAAGGAGGGGTCTGGAAAAAAAAACCAGATTTAGCCAGTAACTCGTGAGATAACAAGATATAATGTTTAAAAAAAATTGAACATCAATTAAAACATACATTACTGATCTTAGAATATAAACTTGTGAACATAGCTGTAAAAAATGTTTCCTATTAACACACTCACTCTCTCTCTGTATGTATCTCTTTCTCACTCTCATATGTATGTATGTATTTACGTACGTGTTCGCCTGAAGTGCATGACATCTTGGCTATCATTAAAGCTTCTGGTTCTTCATGGCATTGTGAATGAGATTTCAAATCTGTTTCTATTATTTCTGTGGCATCATCATCTGTCTGTTCGGGTGTTAGCTGCTTCTCTGTTGTGCTTGATCCAGTTCTGTCTTCTACTGCTACTATAGATTCTGTCAAGGCGTTTAGAGCTGTGAGAAGTTCTTCTGGCAAAGTATTACTCTCCTCATTTACAGTTGTATCTATAGAAAAATTATTATTCTGATACTCTAACATGTCAGACATTTGGTTGGTTTCAAATTCATCAAGTGGTTTTATTACATGTTTCACTCCAAACATTTTAGTTGCCATACTATTTATTGTCTCATTAGATGCTATTGCTTCATGAAATTGACCATTATCTGCTGCATCACTCTTGCCACTGATCATTCCAACACTTTGGAAAGCCATTGATGTTTCTGGGTATTTTGGCACATCATTTGAGAATGGCTTTACTACATTCATATTTGAGAGAAGACTTTCTTCAAGAGAATCATCCTAAAAATAAAGTTAAAATGTCATGGTTACAATAAAAAAGAACTCACATTATTTCTATAAAGATATTATTTAGTATAAATTTAATTACTTTTTGGTATTTTATCATTTTTATTACCATTTTGAACACATTCAATACAAGTTAATGTAATGGTAATTAAGGATGCTTTTTTACAAAACATTTTATGCTGCCACAACATAATGACCTAAAATTTTCAGTAGTTTCTATTTATGAACTTTAGTTGACTTCTCTGAGAAATTATGGAAAATTATCTAAGATTTCATCCATCATATCTACAAAAATAATCATTTCATTCTTAACATAATTTTTCTAGAGAGATTGCTTCCCATAAAGAAGCTTGATAAGTGTATCTAATTCTTTAATATCAATATCTTAATTAATTTAAATATATAATTCCAAACAGGACAATCTAATGCCCATTTATTATAGTGGACTACACCAAAGTTCTTGGGGTGGGGGGAAAATAGGAAACATGTACTAAAAGTTAGGAATAAAAATCTGGGTACTCATTAAATAGATATATGAAACCTCGAAAATTCAGTTTGTTTTACTGCCCATTTAACAGAACAATTTTTGAGTCTACCATTTTTTTGATGGATATTGTGAGATTGAAAAAAAAGGTCAACATACCAAAAGGGTAGAAGAAGCTATATAAAGTATAGTTGAGATATCATTGGCAGCTTCTTTTAACTTTTAATAAGCCTGGTATGTGCCAGCAGTTGTGAATACTTGCAAAGAGCCTTACTCCTTTTTCTTCAATGCCTTCTGGCATGACTATATGACACATAAAATTGCTGCCTTGTACATCAAAAAAATACTTTTCTCCTTGGAATTTAAGGGAAGGGGGGGATGAATTTTGTTGTGCAATGTATTTCTTTGAATGAAAACCTCAAATCTGCTAAGTATGGGTAAGGTGAATAAGTAATCTCAAATACTTTGGATTTGAAAATTTACTTCACTAGAACTTCTTTCTTCTTTTTTCACAATTTTTACCCTGTGGAACCAGGGTATTAATTTGTAGATCACCCTAAAATAGTTGTTTGGCAACAGTGCCTAAATTTTAAAAAGTTGTAGTAACAACTATAATTTACATTGTAACTCTATTAATTGGAGTATTTCCAATTAATATTTCCAAAGTTCTTCGGGCTGAAATCATATACTAGCTGGGTTTTTCATTTAGAAAGCTCTGTAAATATTTCATATTATATCCATAAGTATGGCATATTTATTATTTTGTATTACGGCAGAAATTTTGGATAATGATGTCAGTTGTAGGTTTTTATGCTAATCCAGTATAACAAGAGCAATGGAAGGGCTGTAGAAAATTACATGAGTTTATTTTAATGGCCACATGGATTACTTGATGGTTTCAATGTATTACAATTTGTAGCAGTATATAAAACTTTTCAAAGCATTGCTTCAAAAATTCTATTTTACTAGGCACTAAGTTATGTGAGAAGGGACACGGTGGCTCAGTGGCTAAAACACTGAGCTTGTCGATCGAAAGGTCGGCAGTTCAGCAGTTCGAATCCCTAGTGCCGCGTAATAGGGTGAGCTCCCGTTACTTGTCCCAGCTTCTGCCAACCTAGAAGTTCGAAAGCACCTAAAAAATGCAAGTAGGACCACCTTTGGTGGGAAGGTAACAGCGTTCCGTGCGCCTTTGGCATTTAGTCATGCCGGCCACATGACCATGGAGACATCTTCAGACAGCGCTGGCTCTTCGGCTTTGAAACGGAGATGAACACCTCCCCCTAGAGTCAGGAATGACTAGCACATATGTGTAAGGGGAACCTTTACATTATGTTATGTGACCTATAGGATGTCTCTGGTCTGTGTAAAAATATTGTTCTTCAACTAAAGATTTGTACTAATTTATAAATGTTTAATTGAAGAATGCAAATGTAATTACTTATTTACAAGCAGAAAACCATTAACAGACTTACATTTTGGTGTGACATCTCAGGAACTCTGGGCATTTTAGATTCTAAACCTAGAAAAATAACAAACAAGAATACTTTAAACTTCTCTGAGTAAGACTACTTTAGATTTTATCATTATATGTATTTTTAAAAACATTTTTAAACCTAAGATTTAATTTGCTTTCTGCATTATTTCAAATCCAGGGTGAAGATGGATTTTTATTATCCACCACTGTTTCTTTAACTCAGGAAGTCCAAGTCCAACTGTAATATTAAAGATCTTTCTGCAAAATGCATAGTTGAATTCAATATATAATACAACTTATTTTTCTGAAAGTAGAACAGAACACCATCTATAACACAATTTCTAAAATTTCAACTGTCAAAACAAAAGAGGGGGGCATAGTGCAAATCCTGTCAGCCAAGGAATTTCAGCTGGCAGAATCCAGAAGAACCTCCTCTGCTATGGCTCTTGCCCTCTGGAACATCCCCGAGGTGAGACTGAGTCCCATCCTTCTGATGTTTTGAAAGCGCCTCAATTCCTGGCTCTGCCGGATGGCTTGGGGATCCAATGGGGGATCTTCATACTGGAGGTGGTTGACTAGATAAAAATCAATTGCCATCTCCTTCCTGGCTCCCCCTCCCCCATGCGTCCAGCTTCCATCTTTGCCATCTTGTCTCCTTGATTTTATCTGTTAATGTTTTTATTTGCTGTGTTTTCATAATGGATTTTAATGTTATTAGCAACCCAGAGCCATTGGATACAAGATGGGAGGCAAATAAATTTTATAAATAAATAAGTAAATAAAACATAGTTCCTTATTTTGTTATATTGTGCTTCAAAACAAATACACATTCCCATGTTTATATAATTTCTGTTCTTTGTAGGTAGATAATACCTATAGTCATGTTAAACTTCACTGTAAAAGCCTACCAATGCATTTATATTCTCCATGAACAGTTGCTGCTGATACACAATCAAACTGACCAATATTTGTGGCATTGACAGCATTGCTTAATTCAATCCTAGATTAAAAAAAAATTCTGATTAAAGTAAACAAATTTTTGCAATGATTTTAGGTCTTAAAACTCAAGACTTTATATATAATTATATGCAGAGTGGAGATAATTATGCATCTAATTATGCATCTATAGGAACTATTGCATTTATTTTCTTACTAAATGTCAACACATTTTCTCCATTATCAAATTAAGCAATGTCTAGTCATTAAAATTCCATGATCAAGGGTAGCCAGCCTCTAAATACAAGATACGTGTGTGTGTGTGTGTGTGTGTGTGTGTGTGTGTGTGTGTGTGTGTGTAAATTTCAACACTTATCGCTTTCGTGGCGTGCTTATCAACTTCCCAGAAGCTTCTGGTTTCACTTATTTTATTAAAAACAGACTAAATAGCAGCTGCTGAAGGAGAGTAGTGAAAGATAGTTACTGCAGGCAGGATCAAGCAATAAATGAAGGAGGAAAAGGAAAAGGAAGAAAAAAAGAAAAAGGAAGTTACTGAGTTGAGTTTATGATATTTTATGGGCCACAGGAACTTCCAGCCCTTCTGTCTCCCAACCCTTCTACATCCACTTTAAAACATATATGGTATTGTCCTCAAGATAATATCCCTACTTCCAGATACAGAAGATTTGAATATCAGAATGTACAGGCATGTGTACACGTACTATTGTTTATATTCAAGTTTATTATAACCTTTAGTGCTCCATGGTATAAAGTACAGCATGTCATATTAGAATATATTGGATGAATGTGTGTTTAAGCCAGAACACCACCCCCATACTATAAATTCTATATACAAAGAAGAACAGAGAGAGACAGAGATCAATGATGCTACTTCTTAGCTGGATGCTGCAACCCATTAACAACATAGGTGGCAACTGAGCACTTGCAAAATCAGTTATAGTTCTCAGAGATATTGTATTTACGGGAGCAGAGATTGAGATTCTTCCTTTTCATTAATCTCTTGATATGGCTGGAAGAAAAAAAGCAAATTAGTTCAGAAAACAATAAATAATAAATTAACAATCCCACTGACATTTATATAACAGTGAATTATACTGAAACCAGTGAAAGTTATTCCAATTACCTTATTTTTAGTACTTTAGTACAAGCAGTAACTGAATTGCATATTTCATAGGATATAATGTCTGCAATTTAAGTTGATAACTTGTCTAAAACTCAGTTAGAATAAGTCATTAAATTATAAACATATTTGCTAAAAACATAGGATCCAGGCTTCTCTATACATTAATTCCCAGATAAGCCACACTTACATGGAATCTAATACGAAAAATTATATCTCATATTGATAATATTTGTATCCAAATTTATACCTTGCATAATATATCTTCAGTGCACATATGTTTCTATTTCCTATCTTTCAAAAATAGAAAAATATCTTTATGTGGCTATTTTATGTACCTATGTAGTTATACTATTAATTTTTATTGAACAAAATCTTTGTATTTTACCTTAGTGTAACACATACAACATTTATAGCATGTTTTGTAATATTTTATTCCTAGTATATTTAATTTTAGCTGATAAAATTATATATAAATATATTTAAACTAAGGAAATATTGAAACTAGCTTTCTACTTGTTTTAACAAAATACACAACTGCCTAATAATTAAATAGTAATGAAAATGGAGAAAATAAAAGTTTTGAAAAATTTTACTGGAAATAAGTAAGTCCACATTTTACATATTGCTATAATATGGATTAACGTTCAGCAAACTCATTTCACTCATAAAACAGGCAGATTATTTTGATGCACTGCAACTTTTTTATTCATGTATGAATGTATTTAAACATCTCTTTCATGCCATATGCTTGATGAAAAAAAAATATGGTTAACTTCTGTACACAGATTTTTTTCCATCCTTCCAAAGACATTCTGTGGGATGTTCTGTTCATTCTGAACACTTTTCCATTCTCAAGCTACGAAAAATATAAGGTCATAATACATGGAAATAATCTTTTTTTCCCTTCATCAAGAAGATTACCATTTTCATCATAGCATTAGAGGCAAGATAAGAAGTTAAACACCTCATTAAATTGCCATGCTTTTAGCCCTATATTTTAATACAGGGTATTGTTATTCACATAAGATCCTACAATGCATCCATTTTCTATAACTGTTCCTATCTAATTATTCCTACCTAATATGAGATAAAAATCATTCTTAAACTCAAGATTTTAAAATATTATTTGGATAATCATCAGCACAACAAATCTAAGCAACTACATACCAGATTAAATAGTCCCAGTTGCTTCTGGATGTGGAATTTGATGCTATTAAATGGAATATTTGGGGAAAGCTTTTCTATGATTAGAGGTGAAAATAATTAATAGAAGCATGGTAACACTGTCACATAAAACAATATCTTACAATTCTAACAACCTGAAAAAGTTTTCAATTAGTTATGACCTTTACCTCTGTAATCCCTCATTATGACATTATAATAAACAGATGCAAGGTAGCTATATAAATTGATTAAATAAATAAAATAAATAGAACAGATGTTACACTTTAACCACTTGTATATCTTTACAATACAGTGTTGTTAATACTGATACATATAGATAAAACTTTAATAGAATAATATTGTGTATATGTTGTCAAATTCACAGCAACTCTAGAGTTTACCACAGAGGGTTTTTTGGATATATAAAGCAGTTTTTTAAAGTTCTGATTGCATGATATATTATGTATGACCTCATAAGTAAATTCTTCTTAATGGGACTTACATTCAATGAAATGTGCATAGAATTGCAGCCCTAAAAAACTTTCTGATGCATAAGTATCTTTCGTTATTATGGAGAGGAGACTAGTCAAAGGGATATTTGATGCAATAATAAACTGTTTCACTGAAACAAGATAGTAAAAATGTTGCCATATATATGCATCTGCATACTACTTATGGCACATGGCGTTAAAAAAAGCTTAGCTTTGCCTCATTAAATCCACGCAGCTTGTGTAACTGCAGAAAGAGAAAAAAATGCATGTTTCTGAAAAATGATGAGGACATCTGATGAGAATGATCAAGTTCGTGTATAGGAAATCCTAAATTAATACCTAGGACTTTCACATTCCCATAAATTATTTTTCAATTTCTTATAAATCTGTTTTAAGAACTCAAAAAGGAGGCAAAAGAATACACAAGCTACTAAATAGAAAGATAAAAAGAAAAGAAATCAAAGACTTTCCAGAGAAAATATTTTTCAACAAATTAAGCGTCTACAGTAATAATTAGCTACCTTAAGGATCTTAAGAGAAATGAAAGATGAATTATACAAAATAAAAAACTATGGGTTTGAACATAAACCAAGTAAATGGTTCGCATGCAAATTACAAAAAAAAAGTAAGTACGGAAATTACAAGGGAAGATACTATAACAACAGATAGTGTAGATATGCAAAAAGTATTTCATCAACATTATGCAAAATACATAAAGGACAAGAAATTTCCCTGGAGAAAATAGACAAATATTTAAAGAAACAAAATTTACCAAAGATTATAGGCAAACAGAAAGAAGTTATAAATGGACTCATAACAATAAGGGAAGTTCGTGAAGCTATAAAAGAAGAAGAGAGGGAAGATATTTACTAGCTTCTTTCCATAAATGCTTTGAAGATTATTACAATCCTTACAAAATACCATGAATTCTGCTTTACATGCCAGACAGCTAGAAAGATGCTAATATACCATAATATCTAAGGAGGACCAAGATTTGACTTTGTTCTGTAAAAGGAAACATCACATTCTTCTGGCTGACAGACTGAAAATAGTCCCACTGATTTTCTTAGATGCAGGAAAGCTATTAATAATAGTTTTGGAAGATACGAATTTTGAAGAGAATATTATAAAATATGCAAGATTGGTTTACACTTCACAGAAAGCACAAATAATTGTCAATGGAGATAACTTTGTGATATCTCTCTCTGTGTGTATGTGTTTATGTGTGTGTGTGTGTGTGTGTGTGTGTGTGTATGTATGTGTGTATATAAGACAAGATGTAGAGAATTATAGAAGTAAAGATTTAAAAAGAAACTTATAAGTTAAGGGCATTTGATGATGACTTGATTTAGTGATCTGGAGGATCCACTAAAGGGAAGAGAGACATTAATAAGAACATTAAAAGAATTTGGTACACTAGCAGGTTTTAAAATGATGTTAACCAAAATAGCAAAAAGGAGACCAAACAGACTTGATGAAGAAAATGGGTTTTAAGATTGAGAAAAAAGTAAAATATTTGAGTATCACCATGACAAATGTGAATTATGTTATTTTAAAATAATTATGTTAAAATATGGAATGAAGCTTTAAAAGATATGTTAAGATGGGAGAAATCAGTGAGGACAATTTCTGTGGTAAAACCATTTTTAAATATTTCAATAAAATTATATTTAAAAATAATGTATTATTTAGACTTAACTTCCATTGTATATTGATTTATTTTAATATGTATTACTTTCTGCCTGTTGTTTGTTTTCATTTTATTTTTTGTATTTTTTTAAATTTTGCATTTTTTCCTTTTCTTAAAATATAAAAGAGGAAAAAAAATCTCTTCTCACCTCCATATGTATTAGCTAATTCTGAAGTAATGCTGGTTTCTCTTGCTAATACCAGGTCTTTATCCACTAAAGAGAATCTAAAAATATAGAACACATCTTAGTTTTAGTTTCTATCATACGTATAAGGACTGAAATTGGCAATGGAGAAACCAAAGGTTCCCAAAATAGAGATTACATAAATATATCTCAGTTGTATTTCAAGCTATATGAGACTGACCAAGTACCTGTTAAGGACTAGGCAAGCAATTGTTATATTTAAGGTATCGTTCTTATGTGTAGTAAATATTCTAATGTAGCAGAATCTCTGAGAAATTTATGCCAAGTTAAGCCAAATGATGTATTAAGGGATAGTATCTGGACAGCTGTGATTTAGTACTGAACTCAGTTATAAATCTTGACAGCAAAAGCTATTACTAAATACAACTTATCTCTAGAATAAGAACGAACCTCTTTGATTGCCCAGATAAGGACTTCAGTCCTTTGAAAATTAGTAAAAACTAATTAGTAAAAAATTAGTTTTTACTAAATTTTCAATGGGCTGAAGTCCTTATCTGGGCAAAGAGGTTCTTTCTTTGTAGACAGTATAATTTTCAAAATAGTTAAAGCAGAGCAATATATCACAGAGGCTACCACTAACTACAATATTTCACAAAGGCTTGTCTTTGGTAGCTCCAGTTTTTACCAGTTCTCAAACGGCTGCCATCCTGACTTACATACTTTGTACAAAGTACATCTTTAAAAATAGTTAAAGCAGAAGAATATTTCATGGAGGAGCAAGGCCTTATTATAAGTGAACAAAGTATTCAAAGAACCAATCCGACATCCAGAAACCTAGACTACATTGGGGAGCTGGAAGGGAGGACTGAACACTTCTGACTCCAAAATTAGCCTTATCTTTTCTCAGTGAGCTAAAAAAATGGATTTTGTTCTTATGAATAATGTTATTATTTTTTCTGTTGTATCTCCCACATCCATTCAAGACCATTTTAAAAAGTGGATCTCCTACATTAATCTGTCTGCAAGTGCCACCATTTCCCCCTCCCCCTTCACAATGTCTCTAAATATTTATTTTAATAGCCAGGTCATCATAGCTCTTGTAAAGCCTATCAGAAAAGGAGTAAGGCAGATAATTAAGCTGTTCCACAGCCATCATTGAGAAGTAACCATTAAAAATATATGATGACATTCTCTTACAGGACGGATACTTTAATCATGTTCGTGTGAGGCTTCACTATTCTGAAGTCAGAGTGCCCCATTTCTAATTAGCTAGCCTTGATTACAAATACAGGTTTTGTGCTAAAGAGAAATAGTAATTGTCTCTGGTAAATGTAGAGCCATAATTAGGAACGTAACATAGTAGACTGTGCACTCTCGTTAACTAAGCTAAACATATTGTGAAAAATACTCTAAATGAGCAGGTAGAAAAACAGATTGCCCAGGATATATGTTTTAGAAAATGTCAGATATACAACTGCTAGAAAACTAATACTGCTGCATGGAGATGTTTTGAATATGCAGTAAGCAACTTAAGGGCACAAGAGAACTGGCTTCACTCAAAAGTGTAATGAAATATACAATGCTATTCAACTGCCAATGTTTGAATTATACTGAACTTGTTTGCATAGTTTCAAAACACAGGATGGAAAGCAGACTTTTTCTTATCTGTCTCAGGAAGTAAGTGTCTTGGATCGGACAAAATACAACTGATAAAAACTTTTAATTAATTAACTCATACATTATCATTTCCTCTATAATGTTTAAATATTCAAAAGAATGTTTGCAAACTATATTTTCAAAAAGATCTATGGATACAGTAAGAATACCAAAGCAGTCAATAAGTACTGCCTTGACAAGTCCTATTTCACAAACATACATCAATGAATCCTTTTATACTTTTCAGTTAGCAGATATTTTTCATCTATTTATATCTTGATCAAAACAATATTGTGCTTTGTGTAAGAAAGACTGAAGAAATGAATAGAACATTTTACTCATTAATTACCTGGTGCTACTGTTAATTATATGTATCAGGGTAATAACAAATTAGGGACATCTGGAGATCAATAATATTTAAATGGCAGGCTAACTAGGTGATAACCCCATACATTTTTTTGTTTTGTATGATGCATATAATGCACTTCAAAAAGGAGCAAGATTTTAGCCATCAAGTTACACCTGTTATTTTTACCTGTTGTCTTCACCATGGTTTCCCTTATCCAAATGATATTTATGTTTCCCTTAGACTAGTTAATACATAGTTCTTATACTTAGCACAAAGCATTCTTTTTAAATTCCCAAGTCCTGTTTTGAGATTTAGACATACAAACAATGGAGAGAAAATAAAAATGAATGCTCTAGACCTCATTTCACTGCCACAATCTCTTTTAGATAATAATGAATATTGTCAGTGATGCTATATTTGTATTCACTAGACTATATTTTACTCAAGCACCAGAGCTCAGCCACCTAGTCTTTGTCCCTGTAAACTAAGAAATAGGAGGGATTTGCATTAGCTATGCCCATGAAAACCTTGAACATGGAAAATAAGCTCAATAGAGGTATTTGATACTGTATATTTTGATTTTGTCTATTTTGTTATTTCCATTATTTTATTTGTATTTTCTGCTTTTATATTGTGAGCTGTCCAGTGTTGGGAGTCCATCAGCATTAAAATTGAAATTAATAGAGGAGGCATAACGTGCACAATGCTTCAAAAAGGTTTATTACACGCTCTGCTTTGGTACAAAACACTTCAGAACCCGCAATTCTCCCGAGACTAAGTATTGGGGCTTGTAAATATTAAGAATATTTGGCAGCTCGCCTCAAAGAATAATGCAGACGCCCAAGTATTTGATGTACAACGCCCCATCGACCAGAGCCAAAATCTACCTCACGCTTTTCTGGGAATGATGGAGGCCAGCCTATAAGCGACACCAAGTTGAGGAATGTTAATGTAAAGAATGAAGACCTGGCAAAGCGCTTTTGCAGACACCTTTCAAGCGTCGCCTTACACCTCCACGTGAGTCACTGTCACCTTTTTGCACGAAGCTCTTTTTCTTCCAGGTCACTCTCAACCACGGACCCCTCAACTATCGTCTCATCGCTGTCTGTATCGGAGACTTCGCCCCCTTCCATTATAGCTGTTCCCCACACTCCCATCTGTTGTATATTCTGCCATGCCGGAGCATAGTAATAAGGAAACGCCTCCCATTGGCTGAAGCATTACAGTTCTGCCGGCGGGAAAATGGACGCCCGCTATTGGTCGGCCCGTTTGACAGCTGCTATATAAATAGCAGCTGTCCTGTTCTGTTGTTGCTGTTGCCGGTTTCCCTGTTGCCTGTTAATATACTGCTGTTACTGATTAAATGGCTTAAGTTCTATCCGTCTGTGCCTCACATCTATCCACCCTTGTTCTCCCCAGTCAGAACAAATTGGTGATGAGGGTGGGAATTAGATTGAGGAGACGATTCAGAGCTAGTCACGTACAAAGAGCTAAATCCTGTCCTTTTAAGGATGGCAACCCGGACTACATTCGCGCGTTTCGAACCGGCTCGTTTCCTCTTCCCACAGTTTTTATGTCTTGAAATATTGCACTGATTATGTTTCTATAGATGCCAGCAGTTTTTAAAACAAGAGCTCTAGTAAAATGGGACAACAGTAATAACTATCCTATGCTTAATTTTAAAGAGATGAGGAAAATAGTTCAAGCACAATTTAATTTCTAGAGGCAGGAAGACATCACTTTGTACTTACAATACACAAGTCCTGTACAGGTAGTCCTTGACTTACAACAGTTCGTTGAGTGACCAACATTACATCGATACTGAAAAAAGTGACTTATGACCATTTTTCATACTTAGATCCATTGCAGCATCCCCCTGGTCACATGATCAAAATTTGGATGCTTGGCAAATAGTTCATATTTATGACAGCTACATGTCCCAAGGTCATGTGATCAGTTTTTATGACCTGACAAGCAAAGTCAGTGGGGAAGACAGTGTTAATTAGCTGTGTTACTAACATAATAACTATTAAGTAATTCACTTAACAAAGATGGCAAGAAAGGTCATTAAATGGGACAAAACTCATTTAACAAATGTCCACCTTAACCACATACATGAAGCTCAATTGTGGTCATAAATTGAGGACTACCTGTACTTATGATCTATATAGATATCTAAAAAGATAAATTGTTCGTTAAAGATATTTCTATTCAAACATAGTTTCCACTTCCCAGCCTACGCTCATCTATGCTGCTGCTGAATCAAACAGCATGAACCAAATGTTGTTAGGAAATAAAATAATAGCATACAATCCCATTTTATCCATATTTTACTTAATTTGGTTGGTAATTTCTTACCATCCTGCAAAATGAATAATTTTCATGAGGGAATGTTGCAAAGTGGTCAATGCATTATTTCTCAATTGCATTTAAGACCAGTGAAATTATAGTATTAATAGCACAAGACTGAAATAGTAATAGAAAACATATTTGCTGTTTTATATTATTGCAGCTAATTCCAAATAATTATCTGGTGTGGTACAATGTTAGGATACTAACAACAAAGTCCAGACCAAGATTAACCAATTTGGGGTTCCCAGAGAATGATACGGTCCTCAGTTGACTTCCATGGATGGTAAACTTCAAACTAAAATTAAAAGTTTTAACCAATTTTTTGGTTAAAAAGCTCTTGTAACAAAAATTATCTGTCCCTTTTCAAGAGTGAAAAGAGGGCAAACTGTCCCTGCTTGTCTTGTCCTTCCTTGATTGTGATGCCACTTATTACCTGCTTGTGTCCTTAGAATTAGTCACAAAGAATATTGGATCCTTGCAAGTAGGAGTGAAAAAAGTCTAATGATTTTGAAGCAAGTCTCTGTGACAGAAACAGTCTGTCTGAAATTAGTAAAAGAAAACCAGCAAAAGTAGCTTCCAAAGAGAAGAAGCAGAAAGCATAATTATAAGAACAATAAAGGGAGAAAAGCACAGATTTGCAACTAGTATTAGTCATAATAAAATCAAAATCTACAACCTAATTGCTCATGATTCTAAGTGAGTGATTACTAACTGAAGCACAGATGGCTCCTGCCAGATGGATGAGTCAGTTTTCTGACTCGTTTCTGACAAGTTTTTGTACATCAGGTAGAGAATGGTAAGAGACAAGAATAAATGGATGACGTACTAAGACCATTGGAAATTGCCTTTTTATATATTTTTCTTTTTCTTTGACTTTTACTGTTTTTCACTTTTTTCTATCTTTTCATATATTTTTCTTTTTTTTTAATTTTCCCTTTATGTTTCTGTAGCTTTAAATTCTGTAGAACATTCTAAACTTTTGTGCACATGTACATACATAAAAAGAAGGGCTTCAACTCATAGCCTGTGAGCCATTTGAGGCCCTGTGTTATTTTATTTATTTATTTATTTATTAGTCCAATTTATATGCCGCCCTTCTCCGTAAACTCAGGGCGGCTTACAATGCATTATAGCAATAGCCTGCATACTATTATGTATATACCTGCTTATTAGGGCTTTTGGCCCCCCCAAGCGGTGTTGTTCTATACAAAGCTGGCTTATTGCCTCCACAATCTGGGTCCTCAATTTTCCTACCTTGAAAGGATGGAAGGCTGAGTCAACCTTGAGCCTGGTGAGATTTGAACTCACAGTAATTGCAGGCAGCTGGCAGCTATTTTCTGTAATCTGTAATAATATTTATGAAAGAACACACCCAGAGGATACATCTCTCAACTGACAAAGATTACTCCAAAAAAGAGAACATTGTTCCCTGGTTTTTTGAAAGGATGTAATTATATTTATTTATTTACTATTAAATTTATATGCCATCCATCTTCTTATCCAAAGTGATATTAAAGTGTTTATATAGCCACCCATCTAACTAATTTTGGGTGGCTCCCAATCATATGTTAAAATAACATATAAAATCATACTAAAATTATAAAATGAAAAAGATTAAAACATTAAAAAAACAAAGACCCCTCAAACATTGCAACATTCACACAATGATATGTATAAATTTAAAAAATAAAAACTTGATTAAAAAAACAATAACAAAGATCTGGCACCATGTTAGCCTTCCAATGTGTAACAATCTAATCTTATCCCAGTGCTTTGGAGGAAAAAACAGGTCTAGAAAGCTTTATGGAAAGATAAGAGGGTAGATAGGATCACCAATATGATCGCCAATGTCCAATGACGGATATGGCACAAGTAGAAGAGTGCCATAGTCAAAGTTCAGGGGACTGAGTTTCCATAGGGCAAGGCTGCCATGGAAAGGGTATATTTCCTAGCTCCCATCAGATGGCAATATTTAGGGAAAGGGACTAGGTGTATGCCCACCCTTTCTGACCTGGTACAATGGGTAAATATCCCTTGGGAAAGGTTGTCTTACAGATAACGTGGTTGTGTATCATATAGGGCTTTAAAGGTGATGACCACTACCTTGAATTGTACCCAGAAAGAAACTGGGGGCCAGTGTAACTCGCACAACAAAGGAATTCAATGGCCAAACCTAGAGGCTCCCATTACTGGGTGCGCTATTTCATTCTGGATCGTTTAAAATTTCCAAGTGGTCTTCTAGAGCCCCATGTAACAGATAGGACAAGAGCAAAGTGGACTAATGACGATGGAAAAGAGTTGGGAGGGAGGATGCCTAGACAATAGAAAATGCATGACTGACCACACACATACACACACACACACACACACATACATAGAGAGAGAGACAGAAACTGCTCAAAGTAAGAGAGCAGCTTGCCTATCTCATCCCTAGCCCTCGGTCAAGGTACCACAAACCAGCATTCTCCTTTTTCTTCTCTGCTTCCATCAGTTGCCTGGAATTTAATTTTAGATACTGTCACTGAAATGCATTTCTGTCTCCCTCTAATGTGACACAGGGTTTCTTGGAAATTAAAAAGCAAATCTTTAACCATCAGACAATTTACACAAATATCTCCATTATTATGAATTGGAGGAACCAAAACTAAGGGGTTTTCTGCATCATTCTTCACTTACCACTATAAATAATGTTGGTTTTCTGCATTTGACTTTCTGATTTTGCATTTGACATTCTGATTTTGCCTACAGTACTTGCTGTACTGTAAGCAAGCTGATTGGTCTGTTCAATAGGTATTATTTTAATCCTTTCAAGCACCTTGTTCACATTCATTAATATAAATGCCAGGTCTTTGGGGGTATTGCTTTCAATGCTGGCAGTTTTTATATTTCTACTGGAAATTTTGCATATACTGTTAATTCTTCTTGTTGAAGGATCAGTTCATCGGGTTTTTTTGGTGCTATTTTGACTGGTTCAATTGTTATTACTTCTTTTAAGTTATCATTTGTGTAATTTATATCAGTTGTTTCCTTTATATTTCCAATTAAAAATATAAGAACTTAGAACTCATGAGAAATTTCCCAGCAAATAGAGCAATTAATCAGTGGAACGACTTGCCTCTAGAAGTTGTAGGTGCTCCAACACTGGAAGTTTTAAAGAAGAGATTGAACAACCATTTGTCTGAAGTGGTATACTATTTCCTGCCCTAAGCAGGGGGTTGGATTAGAAAACCTTCAAGGTCTCTTCTAACTCTGTTATTCTGTTAATAACAGAATTTGAGTCTGGACAAATTCTTTTCCAATTTTCAAACATTCACTTTAAGTAGCCCTACTTTGTCGTTGCAATTTATATCAGGCCATAATGGTCCAATTTTCAAACAGCATACATTTTTGCCTTGTCTGAGGTTGTTGTTCTTCCAGAACTCCTACAGGGCTAAGTTGGTTGCCCAGCCATAGCTCCCGAGTTCCATTGTCTACTTATCAACAGATGCCCAGGAACTCTAACATCTGACATGGTACTTCTGTGTCTCAAGGGATGATGGTATAGGATTCTTTTTCTGTTTTCTCATCATATTCAATGGGTTGCTGTTCTGGCTCTTCCATTAAGACCTATCTGGTATGGGTGACCTTTCTGGTAGAATACACTACTGGTAGAATACACTACCACCACCATAGCTCTCAATCTCAGCAGAACATTGCAAGCCTCTTCTCCACAGCAAGGAAGCATCTTTGGAGGCAGGGTGGATAAAAATTGATGATTTTTTAAAAAAAAAAATCAAAAAAATCAGATTTTTTTTATTTAAATCAGATTTTTTTTAT